ACTCATCTAAGGGTTTAGGTACATTATCACATTCTAGTTTTGCTTTTGCCACCAACTGATTACTGAATAATTTGATTAATTTACTCTGCAATATAGAAAAGAATATGAAGCAGAATATGATAATACAATCACATTAACAAATTTGTATTTGAAAAAAAATAATTCTGTTTTTTTACGAGAAAACAATTCATCAAAAGTTGATAAAAATAATTTGCATGAAATTTTTTTGGGCTTTCCAAAGTTTTTGTTTTCAAATGGATTACAGGAGGGGACAAAACCTTTTTGCAATAGGTCAAAAAAAAAGAGTTGACATAGGCTGATCTGATGTTTTATTTCGTAGTGATGTCAGTAAACTACATGCAATTAAATTTTTATACCTCTATTAGATTAAGCCAGGGTAATTTATTCCATTTGCCCCAATAAATATTGAGGAAAGTGTCTGCTGTGAGGAAGGATATTATCACTTCATAAAAAAAAATTAAATATTTTATCTATGAATGAGGAAGGATAGTTTTCTACTTTGGTGTGAGGAAGCATATTTTTTGACTAAGTTTTTAAGTGAGGAAGAAAAGTGCAGGTCACAGGGGCAGGGATGTGAGGAAGAACAGAAGGCATACTGAGGAAACCAGCAGTTGCCAGTCAAGATATGCCTACATTTTGCAAGAGATGGATAGAGAACACGAATATAAATTTTTTTTTTTAAAAAATGTGATTTTTTTGTACAATCAGGGGCCATAATCCAGGAAATTACTGTCCAATATGCACAAATATCACAAGAAACCAAGATCTTTTTGATATAGACATATATTTCAAGTTTCATCAAGATTGGATAAAAATTGTGACTTTTAGAGGGTCCACAACCTTGGTATTACATACTTTTACACTATTTGCGTACAAGTAGCAGTCATATTGTTGGGCAGTTTCGGTCTGATTTTCACGAAATTCAAACTCAACCCTCATTAGCGTGTAACAGTGATATATTTAAAAATTATGACCTCTGGAGGGTCCACAAGTTAAACCAGCGGTTGCTAGGCAGGATACGCCCACATTTTGCAAGAGGTGGATAGAGAAGCTAAACAAAAGGCGATTTTTCGTACAATCAAGGGCCATAATTCAGGAAGTTACGATCCAATATGCGCGTATATCGACAGGAACCAAGATCTTTGGTTTACAAAGATATATTTCAAGTTTCATCAAAATTGTGAATCCTAGAGGGTCCACAACCTTGATATACCATATACATGTATTTACACTATTTGTGTATGAGGGGCAGCCATTTCGTCCGGCAGTTTTGGTCTGATTTCCACGAAATTGATGTAACCGTGATACGTCTGAATGTTTTTTTTTTAATTGGACGGACCGACAGGCGAACGGATGCGACGACAATATACGTCCAAATGAAAATGTGGGCATATAAAAAAGATACATTTTGGAATAATGTACGCCCCTGGATTAAGCAAAAGTTGGGTTACTAAGTTATTTTGGTTTCGAATATTGTTTAAAGCCTAGACAGGGGAACAAAAAAAATCAGACATTTCTCAACACTGGCTGTATCTACAAGTCATAAAATTAGACTCTTAGAGTGTCCAAAAGCTAAAAAAGTGATTTTTCGTGCAATCAGGGGCCATAATCCATGAAGTTACGGTGCAATACATGCCACTTTCGAAAGGACCAGGGCAACAAAAAAAATCAGACATTTCTCAACACTGGCTGTATCTACAAGTCATAAAATTAGACTCTTAGAGTGTCCAAAAGCTAAAAAAGTGATTTTTCGTGCAATTAGGGGCCATAATCCATGAAGTTGACGGTGCAATACATGCCACTTTCGAAAGGACCAGAGATCTTTGGAAGATAGACCTATATTGTGGACGGACCGACAGGCGGACGGATGCGACGACAATATATGTCCAAATGAAAATGTGGGCATACAAAAAAGATACATTTTGGAATAATGTACGCCCCTGGATTAAGCAAAAGTTGGGTTACTAAGTTATTTTGGTTTCGAATATTGCTTAAAGCCTAGACAGGGGAACAAAAAAAAATCAGACATTTCTCAACACTGGCTGTATCTACAAGTCATAAAATTCAGAAGTAGACAGATAAGCACTTTGGAAAACAAATCAATCAAATTTGACTAAAAAGTTAATTTTATTTTCTACCCTAATATAATTGTATCATTTGCTTGATAACGACTACAGAATCAGTAATAAACAATAATTGCATTTCATATAATTGTGTCCTGTGTATGATCATACCAATTTGATGAACATTGAATAGAGATGATTTATGTGAATTTTTATTAACATATTAGCCTACTGTTTAATTAAGAGGAATTAAGCAATTTATAAAGTAAAATTTATACATTCTACACTTGACTGATTACATGATGATGTAGTGTTCATAAATATAATTATAACCTATATCCTGGTGACAACTAAAAACTTCTCATTTAAAATTGAATTAAAGGAGAATGCTGTAGTAAAAAAAGTTTAATTTTATCATTTACTTAGTTCATTGTGTAACACACTTCAGTATGATTTTTTTTTTTTTTTTTTTTTAAAGTTTTATTAGTAACAAATAACGTTAAAAAAACATGGATTTACGCAATTACAGAAACACCCAACAATTATAATGAGCTGACGCTAAATCATGTGACATGACGTAAGAGACGACACTCGTGTAGCAGTCGATGTATATTTCAATATGGCATCGGCAGAAAGTGACAGCTTGTCAAACATTGATTTCGCCCCAAATGTTCTTCCCTATCAGTATGAGCCAAATAGAAATGCGATCAACAACAGTGACGACGATGGTTCGGAACATTCTACCATTTCTATCAAAGAAGAACAATCGCTGCAGGCTGTGTTCAGACTAGGTCATAGTACCTTGTCTTATCACAGTCCTTTGATTCTCGATAACTTTTCGCTTTATTTATTGATGTTCACGCTTCATCGGCTAAAATATATCAGAGAAAAACTATTAATTCCAATAAATTTACCCTAGCCATAGGGTAATACAGTATTATATGCCCTAGCCTACTTTCTTTGTGCGACAATTGAAAAACGAGGGTCACGTATAGTCTTATTGCTGAGAAAAATTTCTATCACACTCATTTTCCTAGAAATAGGTTCCACTACTGATGTCTTCTGTCTTGCTCCAGCCTCGAATTGTGTATCAATTGTAGCCGCAGATAAGACAGGACGCGGGTACAATATTGTAGCTATCATTTTCCTAGTTAAATCTGACGGACTTCCACATCTAGAACTATCTATGATTGACTGCAAAAATCATCGACATAGGCCTACACCTACTACTTACGCAGAAGATGCTTCGAAAAGGGGATATTAATTTACATTTTGTTGCTATGGTTACATCAGTCACTTCTATTGCTAGATTATGAAAGCGTGTCGGTTTCACCATAGAACTATGTACAGTTTTAACATAGAAAGATAACATAACTGTTAGCTTGGATCGACAGAATAATATTATTTATTCACGTTCACAAGCAGGTAACTCAAAATGCTCCGAACAAAGAGAAGCGTGTTTTGATGGAGACCCCTCTGACCTCGTCGACACCGCTGTGTCCAGACCTTTCTGCGTTTGCCTTGCTTGGAAATTTTTAGAAAATCACATGTGCTTCCTGATTTATTGTTGGTGCTATTAGTACATCACCAACGGGATGCAGTGCTCAGTTGCAAACGCCTTCTACAGGGAAATTCACGTCTGTCGTCTGACAGAAGGAAAAAATTAAAACGAGGCTGCAGATATGCATAAATGTCAATTCAGGTTTTTTGGGTATATTTTTCCTTTGTAAAAATATTCATAATGACTTTTAAAATTTTGTAGGGTCAAAAATATTCTAATAGTAACATTATTTTTCATATTAAAACAACTTTTTTCGGTAGTATTCTCCTTTAAGTGGATCACAAATGACCTTTTCTCTCCCAGATGATCGAAATCCAAAACAATTTATAAGGGACATCAATATAACATTGGAATGATAGTTATACATAGGAGCATGTGATTCATATTACGGTATTTAAAATACGGAAATGTGCCAAGTGTACATTATTGATACTAGTCTAGTCCAAATTTCGAACGCGCATGACATATTTCATTGCAAAGCATGTGCGAGTGTCTGTATTTTAAGTTGTTTAATAATGGTCTTGAGCTTAAGACATTGCGTAATATATATTGAAGCAACAACTCGGGTCTGAAGTCCCTTGTGTTGTTTTATTATATTACTTAATCTTAATGTCTCGCTCTCGACCATTAAACCACATATAATAAATAAGACTTATATGTATCTAGTCTGATAAATTGATAGCAAAATAAGGTCAAAAAGTTTCAAGGATAAAGGCATCTAAGTGCAAAATAAAGAATGACAATAGGTACTGTGGTAGTTAGGATTAACAACAATAAAGAAGATATTATTACAAATAATACAAATCTTTAAAAAACTGGGCTAATGGAATTGTCATGGTTTTCTCTATGTGTGTGTGTTTTTTTAAGGGTTATTTTTTGTTGTTGGTCAAATTTCTTATTTTCAGGAGATGAATCATTATTTATGAATGCCAATAATACTGTCTGTCTTCTTTATAGAAGGATTTGGTTGACTAAAGTGGGTAAATATCATAACAGATTGTATAAGTGCTATACCTCCGTATCTCTTATTTCTTTTTGCGTAATTTCTTCTGTTTTTTTACATTCTGTTCTCAAACCTAACAACTGTTTAGCTGTGAAGTCTATCATAAATTGCACCATTTTACAAGTCGTGAGAGCTTGCTCTACGCAATCTTCTTGGCCACCATCATTTATCATTTTGATAATTCTTATGTTTGTGGCAATTCTGTGATCATATTTAGCTAAAGTATAGTTCTATTACGTAATAGTTGTCGTATCAGATACATTAACAACCCAAGAAATTCGTGAAATTGCTTGACAGTCCTGAACCAATTTCAGCTTCGGCCATATTGGAAATTCCTGATCCCGTGGTCACGTGACAATGCGCGAGATATCTGACAGGTTCCCGCGAAATTTCCAGATTTCTCTTGTGCAGATAATAATATCAAGAAGTTATGTCTATCAAAGATAACATATCGAATCCAAATCTTCCATGGTATATTGTTATTTATTGTGCTCGAATGGTGTCAGTACGAAACACGACCTGACAATCTCGAGGCTTGTTGTGTAATCATTAATATTTCATTGAAGATTTGTTTACCTTTTTATTTGGGCCCCGCCCTTGACCACAATGAAAAACGAAACTAGAAATAAGAACATGAATAAGTGTTTCTTTTAATAGACTTATAGCCCCACATGCAGGCTATATCTTTTGTACCCCATGCACCAAAAATTGACACAAAGTAACAAAATGACTTTCTTGTTTGGTACATTCTTCCAGCAAATCATCTGCATTCCAGTTCCTGAAAGTAAAGTAGGGTCTTGTTCATGCCTAGTAGTAGTAAATTAATGATTAGACTCCCAGTACTCCCACATCGAAAATGATCAAAATTTATGACACCTTGAATATCATTTTATAATGTTTTATTTATACAGTGCTTGGTTTTCTCACAATGTTTTGTGCCTAACAGTAAACAAGAAGGGCACTTTTTTCCAAAATATATTATAATTAATTCATCTTTGGAGGTGTTAAAATCATTCTTTTTATTGATAATTAGATGCAATAAATCTTGGCTTTTAAAGACACATTCCAAATGTATTAATGGTATGTAATGAAATATAATTGTTTTCCAAGTAAATAAGTAATATTTTTTGCAGGGTAGAAAAATACAGACCAAAACAGTTAGATGATCTAATATCTCATGCTGATATTATTAATACAAGTAACTATATATAATCTATTTTTAAACTGATTATGAAGTATGTAATTGTGTGTGTTGATTTCATATACAAACTCTTTAAATGGAACTCTGTCAATGTCTTTATTAATTTGCTAAATTTCGTATAAATTAATGATTCAGTAGTAGCCTTTTTTTTTCATCTTTTTTTTCGAAATAAATAAATTGATAGTAGAACTACAAGGTGTTTGACTATGTGGGTAAAACCTGGTAAAACAAAAGGAATGAATTGTTTTATATGAAATTAGTGAGACAACATAGTATGAGTTATTAAAAGGGCGTACTTATATTAGATTCTAATCAGAATTTGTTAATATAAATGGGATACAAGTAAGTCAATGATACACCTACATTGAAAATTCTTATGTACATATATGTATGAAACTAGTAATTAATATGCCTTCATATTGGATTAATATTTTTCTACTTTCAGTTAGTAAATTTGTAAAAGAAGATCGACTTCCACATCTGTTATTTTATGGGCCTCCAGGAACTGGCAAAACATCTACCATTTTAGCTGTAGCCAAACAAATTTATTCACCAAAAGAATTTAACTCCATGGTGTTGGAGGTAAAATTTATTTATGTTATCAACATCCTTCAATATGTTTAGGGATGAGACTTGAAGCTGGTTGTTCTTTTAATTCCTCAATCAAAATAATTAAAAAAAATAAATAAAATACCAATGCTAGATAACCCCCGGTTTGGATTCAATTGGATTTTAACTAAGTGCATCAAGTTTCAACCCTACCTGATAAAAGATGGCAGTGTCTTGTTTCTCTCAAGTAGCATAGATAGATAAAATTTCAATTGATCATAACTTTGTAAATACTGAATGGAATTGAAACATTTGGTTTTCAAGGGATTCCTATAGCACTAAATGATGCATCAAATCTTTAATGTTTATGTCATATTTCAACCCAACCAATAAAAGATGGCAGCGTCTTGTTTCTCTCAAACAGCATAGATAGATAAAATTTCAATTGATCATAACTTTGTAAATACTGAATGGCATTGAAACATTTAGTTTGCAAGGGATTCCTATAGCACTAAATGAAGCATGAAACTGTTAATGTTTATATCATATTTCAGTTAAATGCATCAGATGATCGAGGTATTGGCATTGTAAGAGGACAAGTTCTAAGCTTTGCTAGTACAAGAACCATATTTAAGTGAGTAATGAATTTGCTTTAGGGTTATTCAGTTTTATAAACCTACCATAATTGATCTATTTTGGTAAAGATTTACGTATAATTTGGTATGATGATGTTAATCCATACATGAGAAAACCCCAGGAACCAGTAGCTCAAAATATTTCAGATTCAAGGTCTTATTTCTTTCTAGAAACCTGGAGGTCCTGGGTTGGATCCCGTTGTTAGCTGAGAAAGTTTCTCATGATTTTCCGGTGTGGTGAAGTATGGAGAACCTGGCAAGGATGGGTGGAAAACCAAGGTCTTGTGTGCACATTGCGGTGCATGTAAAAGAACCCTTTACAGTTGGAATTCGAAATAAAAGTAGATCGTAGAGCTGCCATAGGGCAAAATTTCCCTAATAACAAACTGCATGGCATATGCCCTTCTGCATAGGTAGAAAATTAGGACGTTGAATCCCATTTCATTTTTGTTTCTGTTTCTTTCCAGTAATGTGCATATTTATATCAGTTTGTATCTGCATATACACAAAAAAACGGAAATTGGGACCCTATAATTTTGCACTTATGATTTATTCATGAGGTAGATGACATTATTTTTGATAACAGTTAATTTTATAAACAGGTCTGGTTTTAAGATTGTTATATTAGATGAAGCTGATGCTATGACCAATGATGCACAAAATGCTTTAAGAAGAGGTAAACAAATTAATAATGATTAAAACTTCAAACATGTTGGTATATATGGATACAACATTATTAAAGCATTACTATATTAAAGGTGCATTATGTAAGATTTAGATAAAGAGCTGGCTGTTCTTGCTATAAAAGGTAAAATATAGATAATGAAAAATGAATATATTGAAATTTTCTGGGTATGTATTAACCCTTTAACATATTGTTTAGTGGGAAGACATCAGACTCCATCATCTCCTTGTCTTAGTAATTTCTGGACTCATTTACCTCTTAGTCTCTAAATAACCATTCATTCATTCTTAAACATTTATATTTCAGTGATAGAAAAATTTACGGAGAATACAAGATTTTGTATAATCTGTAATTATTTATCAAAGATAATACCAGCTCTACAGTCGAGATGTACACGATTCCGCTTTGGTCCGCTTACAACAGATCAGATGGTACCTAGATTAGAATATGTTACAGGTCAAGAAGCGTAAGTTCCATGTCATTGATCAGTTCTAGTTAGATTAGGTGATTAAGTAGTCAAAAGAATTGTTCAAGATCATTTGGAAAAAAATGTGTGTTTTTTTGGCATTGCAGCCTTCTTGGATTTTAGTCTATTGTAGGTTCTCAGGTTCCTACTTACTGCTAGGGGGGTTGGATGGCCGAATGGTTAGCACGTGCGCGCTGTATCATAAGGCCTGTCATTGAGTCAACTGGCATTGTTTCGAATCCCCTGTGACCAGGAGTAGGGTCGCCTGTCCAACCTTGTGGGTTTTCTTAGTGTCTTCCGGTTTCCTCCCACTGCTAAAGACCCCTACGAGCAAGCGAAATATTGAAAGCAACTTGATTGGTCAAAACTTTGGAACATAACTCTGCTTTTAATTGAGGTAAAATGTTTAAACTTGATGTTAATGTTCATTAGTTGAATGTCTTGACTGAGTTCAAAGATTAACGATTCCCTGACCCTCTAAAGCTAAGCAGAGCTAAGTCATTTCATTGGTTGATGCTTTGGGATAAGATAACTTTCTAACTAATGGAGAGTGATGAAACATAGTATAGTTTCACTACCATGTACTTTAAAACCTTGACCGAGTTTGATTGTGAACATTTTATGCTTAGACTAAGTATAGATAATCAGTTTGATTGCTCAATACTTTTGATAAAGAGCAATGTGCAATTAATCAATATGTGTCATCTATTTATTTATGGATTTCGGGTGGGGACATCAACCTCATTGTTTGCTTATTTTCTTAAATCCAGAATAAAAGTATCATCTGATGGAATGAAAGCATGTGTGACTTTAGCATCAGGTGACATGAGAAAAGCATTAAATATATTACAGGTAATTATTCTAAGCCCACATGTCAATGTAGTTGTATGTTGTTATTGCTCCTGTCTGGCGACACTTACTTGTTATCACATTCCAGAGGAAGTTCTTAGCAGATTATGATCACATCTTTAGGAGTGATTGTTTCTGACTGATAAATGTACATGTACTCATACTCATTATACAGAGTTCAATTCCTGACTGTCAAACTTTGAGGATTAGTCCTTTTTGGGGTCCGTCTTCATTAGCCCAGTCTCTGCAAAACAGTAGGACATTAAACCCCATTTCATTTCTGTATCGGGGTAAAGATGGTCTTATCAGTTAACTGCCAAGTAACAGAACACAATTTTTATGGGAAACAATCACTGGTTTTATTCTATTAGCACGACGTTTCGACAAGTATCCTCTTATCGTTATCAAGCACAATGACATTAAGTAAACTTGGATTTAATATATAAGAGTTCATGATGAAGCCATTTACAAAAATTAAATAATAATAACATTAAGAAGTAAAAGATTAAGCAAAAACAACACAATAGTCGGTGTTTGGTGTTCCGGTGATGCTGTATTCTTTCACGGACTAAGGATTTACTGGCTTGTAGAAGGATCTTATGAGCAGCATTCGAATTAACTGGACCCTTAAGTTTTAACCCTTGTGGCACAGTGTCACTGTCTCTGCATCTCATGAGGAAAGTTAAATTATTACACACTCTTATATATTTGTCTTCAAGTTTACTAATCTGACGAACACACTTAACTGCCACATCCCCATACTGACGTTGAACATAATCTTTAAGTGGCATTTAGTGATTGGGGTACACAATAACAGAACACAATTTTTATGGGAAACAATCACTGGTTTTATTCTATTAGCACGACGTTTCGACAAGTATCCTCTTATCGTTATCAAGCACAATGACATTTAGTAAACTTGGATTTAATATATAAGAGTTCATGATGAAGCCATTTACAAAAATTAAATAATAATAACATTAAGAAGTAAAAGATTAAGCAAAAACAACACAATAGTTGGTGTTTGGTGTTCCGGTGGTGCTGTATTCTTTCACGGACTAAGGATTTACTGGCTTGTAGAAGGATCTTATGAGCAGCATTCGAATTAACTGGACCCTTAAGTTTTAACCCTTGTGGCACAGTGTCACTGTCTCTGCATCTCATGAGGAAAGTTAAATTATTACACACTCTTATATATTTTTCTTCAAGTTTACTAATCTGACGAACACACTTAACTACCACATCCCCATACTGACGTTGAACATAATCTTTAAGTGGCATTTAGTAAAGTACCTGTAGTAAAACTGAGTTTAGGTAGAAGTGAGAGGAAGGTTATTCATCTTATAATGTTTTCGTGTTATTTGATCATTAACGGTCTTTTAGCTTGAAACGTTAAGATGAGACAAATAAACCTCCTCTCATTTATACTTAGTTTTTGTACTACCGTTGAGTGAGGATTTTTAAATATCTATTGATGTCTACTCTTCTCTGCTGGCATCATCGTTTTCATCCAGCAGCTACATGAGCTTCACAGATCTACTGATTTGTCCAGCCCCTGCTACTCTTCTAAGGTAGTGTTGTCATTTTCCCTCTTGTTTCCTGTTCTAATGTTGGGCGGTGATTTCGAAATATCTATTGATGTCTACTCTTTTCTGCTGGCATCATCGTTTTCATCCAGAAGCTACATGAGCTTACAGATCTACCGGTCTGTCTAGCCCCTGCTACTCTTCTAAGGTAGTGTTGTCATTTTCCCTCTTGTTTCCTGTTTCTAATGTTGGGCGGTGATTTCGAAATATCTATTGATGTCTACTCTTTCTGCCGGCATCATCGTTTCATCCAGCAGCTACATGAGCTTCACAGATCTACCGATCTGTCCAGCCCCTGCTACTCTTCTAAGGTAGTGTTGCCATTTTCCCTTTTGTTCCCGTTTCTAATGTTTGTCCATTTTCTGTAGAAATTGTTAATTTAATGCATGTTTTTGTTACAGAGTACGTCTATGGCATTTGATGAAGTAAATGAAGATAATGTATATACCTGTGTAGGACATCCATTAAGACGTGATATTGAAAATATAGTCAACTGGATACTTAATGAAAATTTTACAACAGCTTATAAAAGTATCCTTTTAAAAGTATCTGCAGAGAGTGCACTGTGATGTGGTATTATGATAAATTGCCTCTCAACATAGTTGAAAAGCATCCATTGATCAAGAGAGCACCTTGATATAATACTATGAAATATTGCCTCTCAACAGAGTTATGAAAAACATGGATTGTTCTGCATCCCAAGATTAGAGTAATGAGATGTACTCCATTAAGTCAGAAAATGGCTTTTTTGGGTAGTAACACTAGTAAGAAATGAGTTAAACTTTCATGGTTTTATTGACACAATATTTAAAGATGCATTATGTAAGATTTAGATAAAGAGCTGGACATTCTTTCTATTATAGTTCAAAAGAAGATAATGAAAAATGAACATGTTGAAAATTTCATTCGAATTACTTTATTCTGAGCGAAGTTATGACAGTAGATCATTCATTATCTCGGCAACGGTACTTGACAACCGAGACTCAGTATCAATTGTTCATTTTATTGTTAAATTTTTAAATCTCACGGTTGTTTAAATCCATTTAAATCTCAGCCATACGATTGTCTAGAGAGTTGATTATAGGCTTGTCATGTTAATATATCTCTAAATAAAAGTTTATATAACATTTGAAGTCAAAAGAAAGACCAGTCCTTGAAATCTTCATACTGGTCGCTTCAGTAACTAACCTGTCACTCTCAATTATCAAAGACAAATCACATCACACATTATCCATACATGTAGGTACACAAACACTCTTTAGATACATTGCTCCATATAAATATCGTAATATGAAACCTTCACTTTTTTCGACATTGGAACACCTAAAATTTTTGAAATTCTGCCAATCTGCTTTGCCTCATCAGCGACTCGAAGATTCATGCAATTCTATAACCTGTATCCATGTGAATTACAGCAAGTATCATGTTATTAAACTTGTGTGCTAAATTGAATACTTCGCCGTTGAGGTGTAGAATTCATATTCTAAAATATCTGTAATAAATTTAATATCAAAAAACGACTGGACACCTGTGGCTCTGCATGTAAGTGTAGAATTCAGATTCTAAAATATCCGTAATAAATTTAATATCAAAACACAACTGGACACCTGTGGCTCTGCATGGCACCATATTTACATGTACCATGTACGGAATACAGGTAATGCCCCCTGGAATTCCTTTCTCACATCCTGTCTATATTTACCCTATAAATAAATTTATATGTGAAATATTTTTCCGACCTACTTATTTGATTTTGTCAAATTTTCTAGTAAATTATTCAAAGCCTTTATTTATGGAAACTGTTTTATAGTTTTTAAATGATTAAATACACCAGGTTCTGAACTGTGTGCATTTCCATTCCAGCCACCACTATTTTACTACGGTAGAATTAGGTCAGATGACTCAGGGGATGCGTTTTAATTTATTTAGATATAACACTTCATAATGCTATAACCTAGTGTCAAGCAGATGAAAACAAGCTTAGACGGTGTGAAATTTGTTGTTATAAAATTGGCTACTTCCAACTGTGTTAGTAACTGTACGACAGAGCGAATTGGAAACAGTGCAAATGGAGTATTTCTGTGCTTAATTCTAGCATTTAGAAACGAATAATTAAATGTATGTGACGTGGATGTGATTATTGTGGTCTTAAGTCAATTTACTGAAAATCAAGTAAAATTTTATCCACCTGTCGCAAGTGACAGATAGTTTTACTTGCATGCTGTCAGACATAAAATCGCCTGTTGGTGACAAGTAGACAGGCAAACATTTCGAGCCATGAAGACCTGCAATTGGAAGATTCAGCTCTTACATAACACATCTTTAAACATCACCCTATCCTCTTCATTTTCACTTCAGCACCCTGCCCCACCCCCTTATTCATTTCATTAATCTTTAACATGTGATGTAGATTTAACAGAAGTTAAAACAGCAAAGGGTTTAGCGTTACAAGATGTTCTTACAGAAATACATCAATATGTACATAGAAGTAGGCTGTTTTTAAATCTTTTATGTTACAATAAAATATAGTATGGCACCTCCTGGCGCCGATGAATTTGGGGCTGTGTGGAACATGCTAAGAGTCAATTAGTAGCATATCTGAACCATGGTATATGTTTGCCACTGGTTGACCAATGTTTGTGAAGCATTAAAGTTCAGAATCTGAACATGTAACTTGTCAAAAACTTGAGAAGGCATGCAAAAACTCTAAACTCGTGAGGCTGTCCCACGTAGCATGTCATTGCGTCCCCTCCACTTATCCTCAGTGTATATAAATTAAAAGTGAAATGTTCTTTTCCCATACGTAACTGCCTTGGGATAACAAAAGTGATTTATGTTTAGGACGCTGTGGTGGCTCAGTGAGTAAGGCATTGGCATGTTAACCTGGAGGTCTTGTGTTCGATCCCAGTGTTGGCAAAGTAAGTTCATCATGATTTTCCAGCGGTTCCACATTGTACATGTAGGACGGAGGGCCTGACACGACAACTAAAAGGTTAAGTCCTGTGTACACATAGGCTTGCACATAAAAGAATCCTTTACAGTTGGAATTCCAGGCAAAATTTCCCTCATATCACTCTGCATGATGTGTGCCCTTCTTCATTTATAGCCCAGTCCGAGCAGAAAAGTAGGATGTTAAACCCAATTTCAATTCCTTTCGATTTATGTTTAAATCTTATTTTGGATTTTATATTTTACAGTTGATCTACCTGTGAAAGTTAAAATGCATCTGCTTGAAAAAATGGCGGATATAGAGTATGTTGATCTTTGATATTATTTCACTTTCATAATTATTTTCTAATCAAAGCACTTCTGACTTCTGTCCCATTTCAATTTTGATCTTCGACTGCTAACAATTTCAGCAGAATATTAGAAAATGAACTAAAGCTAATACAGGCCATCTTAAGCATATATTGTAGAAATAACAGTTTGATGGAACGTTTTATATTATTTTATTGAGAATAGTCGCATTATTTTTATTTAATATACCTCATTATGTTACAGGTACCGTCTAGCCTTAGGTACCAGTGAAAAAATACAGATGTCTTCTATGATAGCAGCATTTCAAGCAGCAAGAGATCTCATAACACAAGATGCTTAATTCTACAAAAAATCCACAAATATAGCATTTCTGTTTACTGTCTACAATCTACAAATACAAAATGTTACAAATTTTGAAAATTGAACTGTTTTTAACTGCTGAATAGGAACAGGGACATACTACAATTTTGGTATTTGTTCATTGAGCAGCATATTTTGAACATTTACTAGTGAAATGTGAGAAGAAAGTGTATGAAAATTTGTTAACAGAAGATGGGGCAAAGTATCACTGTGAATAATGTGAATTAAAGACATAGTTATCTGTGTTAATGTAGGCGTATATTGTCATCCTTGTCTGTCTATCCTCACTTGTATCTACATACATTGCAGTGTTGATTTCTTCAAACTGATTTTCACAAATTTGTCAGGAATAAACTGTTTGGCAAGAATAATTCCATACTTTTTGCCCCTTACTATTATGATTGTTGATCAAAGTACAGTACTGTGTCTAATTTGTACTTTATTCTGAAGTTATTTTCTGAAAATGTTTAGCAGTTGTAGTGGTTTATTGATCATCCTTATGGATTCTGAAAATATTCCTTAAATAGGTTTCAAGAGTTGTTTCCCATGGTATAAGGGTCATCAAAGTAATTTGGAATATCAACTTTGTTGAGCATATCTGTTCCTTTTGTCAACCGTTACTATATGTAATTATGAAAAATACGTGAAAATAAAAAAATTATATATTATACCTGCACTCTTCCTTGAAGTCAGTACCGGATCTAGGGGGGGCAAAGTGGGCCAAATGTCCCGGGCCCCCCACATTTAGGCCTCCCCCCCCCCCCCCAATTCTGGGTCATACTAATATTTTATCCCGGACGGAGCCAACCAGTACCTGGGCTGAGGGAGCGATGATTGGGGCCCTGGGCAGTAAGGGATATTGGGGGCCCCAGACACTGAAGGGGGCGGAGTACATACTAGTGCGATCCACGGTCAGTACGAACAATTTGAACAAACGACAATGGCCCCCCCACAAGGTTAATCCGGCACTGCTTGAAGTTACTTCCAATGATGACAGATTTACGTGAAGGTGGTAGAAATAAATCACATTGATCGATTAGAAAAATTATGGTTAAATGAAATGGGCTTATAAAGATGGGCATGTGCCATTAGAGAAATATTGCCTGGACAGTGGAGCTACAACCTACTCTTTATTTCAAAGTGTGAGGTGGGGGGCAATGGTTTAGTGCAGTGCACTAGATCATTAAATCTGTCATTGAGTCAAGTGGTGTGGTTCGGGATTCCTTGCTTGTGTTTGACAAGGGTAACCTGTCCAACCTTGTGGCTTTTCTCTGGGTCATTTGGTTTCCTCCCACAGCTAAAGAACCCAATTGTGAGTCTCAAAATGTCAGGATATCTCTAACTGCTGCCAATGGTATACAGTGTATACAAGAGAACTGCAACACTAACATGGAGAAAACAACGTTGGAAACAGCTGAGGAACCTCGACTGACTCTGTGATAGAACCTGGGATCTGATTAGTGGGCCAGTGCCATACTCACTGAATTGCATTTAAATGCCAAATTAATGTAGAAGCAAAAATCCTAAAATTTCCTTCTTTTTTTTTTTGGATAACTTAAACAACGAGAACTTTCAACTCTACCTAATCTCCCATATTGCCCCTTAAAGATACATTATGGGAGATTCGATAATGAGTTGTCAGTTCTCACTATAATAGTTAAAAACTAGATAACGTAAAGGCAATTTGCTGAAAATTTCATTCAAATTGATCCACTATGAAACGAGAACTAAACGAATGAAATTTCTGCCTAGCCTCGGTAATCATTACTAAAGTCAGTACGATAAACAGCATAGTCTTGATTATCCATTTAATCCTTTAATCGAGAATGAAAGTTATGCAGTAAATCGGCTCACAATCCACTTAAGATCGCAGACTAGCGATGCCATCTAGAGTTGATTATGGTCGGGATAAGTTAATTAATGTCTAATTAATAATTTAGATAACATTTCAGGCCTAAAGAAAGACCTGCAATAGACAGATTTAGCTCTTGCATAATGTATGTTTAAGTTACAGATTTGATCAAAGTTTACTAGTATAATATACCCCACCCTCAAATGACAAAACCAGAGGATTCAAGAGCATAACAATGCAATTACAGATCAACTGAAATATTTATTTCATTAAAAATATTAAAGATATTTTCAAGTTATTTTCCTTTTGTGAAATTTGGGTATACACAGGTTTGTCCACATCCATTGAAACAACATTTCTTCACTGCTCCACAGTCGCCATCTAACTCACATTCTTCAATGCAGAGTGAACTAACTGTATGTTTCTGCTTTACAACTGGACAGTTTCCAGGATTATCTAAAATTAAATACATGTAAAAGTTATTTGACTGAAAACAATAATAACAAATTGGCATTATTCAGAAAGGAACAGAGGATTTGCATCCAAATGGACAAAATGCGTGCTGTAAATACTAGGTCGACAATATGAGACTTTACAGGATAATTATAATGGATTTGAGTTGAAGACAGAGTTGCCTCTCTTGACCAAGCACATCTATTTGTTGTATTTAGAACGGGATAATAGACAACTGATAAAATAATATTGCTGTCAGAAACTCGCTATACTTACAACATCGGGAGCAGCATAATGCCCAGTTTATAGTTGGATCTGTTTCACATACAGAACCGTGCGGACATTCAAAATCTTTCTGACTACAGTTCAGATGTTGGTTATTGTCATCAATAAAAGCTGTACCATATTTACAGGGATTTACAGCTGGAAAAAAAATGAGAAAGAATCAATTTGAGCTGGAGGATAAAATATCCGCTGACCCCCATACACTCTTATCATAAATGATCGTGTACCCCTAGTAGACGAGCCATTAGCAATGTCGTTTGAAAGTACTGTGCATATCCTTCAAGAGTACTGCGAAGACAGGGGGTCGCATATATAGTTACTAGCAAAAATGTAATGCTAAAAAAACGAGGGAACACATTTTGTAAGTGTTGTCCAGATGTTGGGGGCTAAAGGTTTATTTGATTTAAAAGTTTATAGCCTGGCTAACCTCAGAATTGCAAAAGCTAATGCTTTCTTTTCTCATATATCGTCCAGAGAACTGAACATTTGGATTATTTACTCGAAGTAGTGGTGGAAAGCCCTCCCCACTCCCAAAGAAAATAAGGGAACGTGGTTGCCACAGCACAACACCACTGGAACTTATATAAGTACATGTATTAATAATGAGACTACCCATCTACTCTCATCTCCCCCAATAATAAACATCAAATACTCACGATCTTTTCCAAGATTCAGACAAGTAGCAGAAACGGTGCCTTGTAAACATGGTGGTTCTATACAGTCTGTATGATGATATTTTAATTTACATGTACCTACACCGTTACATTCATGATCCTGTTATAAAAAAATAGTAACACTAAAGGCTGATTGTATGGGGGTGGAGCGGAGCGGGGCGGGGGTATTTTATTTGTTAGTATTTCGTCCACTTGTACTTAAAGGACCATTTGACTTCGGCTTATAATGTACAGTTATATAGTGTAGTTTTACAGTAAAAAAAAAAAAAAAAATAGAATTCAATGAACATTTTGTAATTAATTTTGTCCATTATATGTTAGATACCGCCTACTTAGGCCTATAATATTAAGCCGCAACTCACACACTAGGTATTTATTTAAGACAATCAGAAATGAATTAAAACTAAAATTTAAAAACTGATTAAAATGTACACGTAGGCCCTACTCAGCCTACCATTTCGATAAAACGCCGTGATTTCACTACAGCTGTTTGTTACTGTGAGTTTTTGGCTTGAGTTGCACGGAACTGTGGGTAACCCACTAGAAATGAAATGAAATGGGGTTTAACGTCCTACTTTTCTGATCCGAACTGGACTAATGAATAATGAAGAAGGGCATACGCCATGCAGTGTGCTATGAGGGAAATTTTGCCCGAACAGCGGCACTACAGCCTACTCTTATATCGAATTCCAACTGTCAAGGGATCTTTTACGTGCACGCCAATGTGTACACGGGACCTCGGTTTTTCGTCTCATCCGAACGACTAGACAGCTGTCCTTGTCAGGCCCTGTCTTTATGTCAGGCCCTGACAAGGGGGAACCATGCCTGAAAATCTGGATGAACTTACTCGGCCAATGCAGGGATCGAACACCCGACCTCCAGGCTAGCGAGCCAGCATCTTACCCACTTAGCCACCGTGACCAGGCCCCCTCCCACCCACGGATTTTATAAAAATGTTGAAATGTTTCAGTATCTTAAATATATAATTTACTGTAATTTTCATTATCTTATTTTATCTTCATATATGTTTCCATTAACACTAGAAACATCAACGCTGATTGGTTAACAAAATGTCTGACGTCATAGGGTCAAAAGCCGCTCGTATGACCGCGGCCTTCCACTACAACCGGTCAGATCTTCATGTAGTAGAGGCCAGCGAAAGTATAAAAAACGAAACGAAATATAGATCTGGACCCTGTTTCACGAAATTTTAACTGAAGATAAAATCCAAATTTTGATTGGCTAAGCACTAAAATCAATCTAATATTATCCAATCAAATTACTAAAATTGGGATTTTATCTTAGTTAAAATTTCGTGAAACAGGCCCCAGTATTTTAATCAGATTGATGTTCATGTTAAACGTGTAAAACGTTAATGAAGAAGACAGTTTTCGTCTTTATAATAGAAATAAGATAAAATAGATTTAAAATTAACTCTGAACAAATAAAGAAATTTGATTATACATTGTCTTAATCTAGAAATTATATGAATATAAGTTAGAAATAAGACGATAGCAAGTTAGAATTTGGAATATAATACAGGGCCGTATGTAGGATTTTAAAAGTGGGGGTGCAGCAGAGTGGTGGGGCGCCAATATAATGCCCGAGTTACTGAGCGCGGAGCGGCGACCGGCGAAGGCGGGAGCCCGCGAGCGCGACGCTCGCGCAGCGGTGTGTGTGTATGTGTGTCCCCCCGAAGATTTTGAAAATTAGGCTGCCGCAAACGCGTTTTCCAAACGCGTGGCGCCCCATAGCCTCCACATAAGTGATATAAGAAAGTTTGGATCTGGGCAAACGAATCAGGTACCTATTGGCGTGTGGGTGTCATTAAAACCGACCGACTCATCAGTGTCTTAAGAGCATCACTGTGTGATCATAATCAAGTGTATTATTTTATAATTGAAAGGTTGTCATTTTTTTTTGAGGGGCGCCATTTCTCGGGGTGCCTTATTTTTCTGGGGGTGCAATGTACCCCCGGCACCCCCGCTAGATACGTCCCTGATATAATATATCGCCATAACACAGTGCTAGATTTTTAATTTTAAAAGCCGTACGAGACAACAAACTGTATTTCGCCATTGTCTACTTATGATGATTGTCAAAACATTGAAATTTATTCCAAACAGCCGAATATAGATTAGAAATATATGTACTCATCTTATACCCAATGTAAAGAAATCTTACCGTACAAGCATCGTCACATGCACTGACTAAAACCAACAAACCTGTTAAACAAAATATCTGAAAATATTTAAAACAAATTATAGAAATATAAATATTTCACCGATAATGTCATTATAATTTCTACTACCCAGAGCTGTAGATACTATAACATTTATTCAAATATTCTAGCGGATATAAATAGTTATACGTTATTGTTTTCACTCCCAGAAGCAATCTTTTATAGGCAATGACCATTCATTCTTCCCCACAGGAGTATTAAATTGAATATTACGGGGCTGTGTTTCGAGGCGGGGCTAAAAAATGAGACCAACCTAAAGTAAAGACCTTAAATAGCCCCCCCCCCCCCACTACACACACAAAATCACATTACAAATGTTTAGTTGGATCATTCAATTAAATTGAAAATAAAACGAACAACATAGTATACAAACCCCGAACATGTCTGCATGTCTGGTATAAATTATCAACAAATCAGATTTATTGATTTTCCTAATTTATGAAAGGAGTATTGCTAAACTGTAAGTAAGTTCATTTCAATTATATATGATTTAATTTATAATCGATATTGTACTCATAACTGTGCGCATAATAACTAAGTATAATTACATATCAAAGAATTCAAAATTCGACATCTGTTCAGTGCTTCGCAAATTAAAGATTTTATCGCCAAAACATTTTGTAGTCGAATTAGTGTGTCGTTTTACCCTTTTTGTTATTTTCCGTTAGATAAAAAAATTAAACGATAAAAATCAAAAGCTATTTCTTTGTCGATCATTTAGTCCATAGCAAATCTACATTTAAATTAATGGATTTATTGAATTGTCAAAAAGTCTCTTTTTTTCTTTGGTGGGCAGTATCAGCCTAGCCCCAGGCCCACCGAGGGGCAGCCCGGGCAAGTTTATCGTATAACAGCTCATAAAAAAAATAATCAGATAAATAAAATGTAATGTTGTTAGGGTTTTTTTCCGTCAAATTTACAGATGAGACCGTTAATTGTTGAAGAACTTTGTCTATATACCTCCCCCCCCCCCCAACACAAGATTTATACGCTGGTGGGGTAGCGCTTATAACGGCTCTGTGTGGACCTTTTATATTGCCCAAATTTTTCCGCCAGCTTTTGCCGACACGGCCATATTCCTAGTCTACATCAATGTTACATTTACAATTTTTGCCAGTCACGTTTATAATATAAACACCGTCTAAATAGTTTGATACGTAGTTCTATGTGTAAAAAGTGGGATATTTGTTTTTAATGAAAAGGGTAAATAATCCGGGGTTAAATACTATAGCTTTTTTTTTATTACACTACGTGGATGTATCGGCCTTATACTTTTATTTATATAATTCAAAATATAAATCTTTACAGCAGAACAAATTTTAAAATTGCGACAGAGATATCGTTATCCAGGATTGATGTATCAAATAAAAGTTATTTATAGTTGTTTATCATGATAGATAGATAGATAAATAATATCAAATCGCAGGCTGACACGCCCCCTTATCAAAGATGACGAGGAGCTTGGTTGTGTCATCTGGCAGATGAAATCCTATAGTATCATGGGCTAGTCTTTCTCTTCGTATAACAAAGACTCGATATATTGGATTAAATCGATAATAGTTTTGACGTGTTTTAAAACGGTAAGAAAATATTGAGCTATTGGAGATTATATTTCATCATGTTTAGAAAAAGAATTAGATCAAAATAAGCGGTTTTTTTTTTCTTGCAGTTTCAAGTTTTATTTTCAAATTGTTACTCTCAAATAACGTATGCTATCATATGTTGAATAAATACAAAAAAAAAAAAAAAAAAATAATAATATTACTCAAAAAAGGGCTCTTGCGCGACCATGGTTTCAACGGAGTTGCCTGCCCTTGGCGGATATAGTTGGCGCTGTGTAATATTATGACGTTTTGGAGTAAAATAATTTCTGATCTTTGCAGAAAATGCTCCAAAAAACATAAACAAAACCAGTAAAATGACTGACGTGGATGATTTTGGACCTATGGAATCGGCAGAGCCGATTTCAAACGGTATGCCATTTAAAATAATAAGATAAACAAAGTTAATCAACATTATACTGATGATATCAAATGTGCACCCATTCGTTCACCACAGACACTGACATGATTCCGTTCAGAAAGTATTAATTTGACAGTAGGCCTATAAAACGCTAGCTACATGTAGTTTGTCTGCGATATCACTTCGGTGGTTTCACACATAGTTTGCCGAAAGAATAAACAGAAATAACTTTGCACTAGTCTGTTTTTACGCTATTTGTAGCTTAAAACAGCAAATAAATACACAGTTGAAACTTGAGTCAAATGACAGTGTAACCTATTAATAATATTATGCCTGTACGATTTATGATTTGTAAATTTCAATATTTCAGTATTTTTGATTCCTTTCACTGTCAGTTTTTTTTTTTATTTTCATTGAAATTATAGTTTATACAGATCTGTGATAGCTCACAATCTATGTGGATATCTGCTCATTTGAAGACAGATCAGTCTTACACTGTCTTCTCTTGTCAGTCACCAAAATCACAATTATGGTAGCCCCAAACCCAAAATATTCAATATACATATACTTTATCACATTGTTAATCTATGACCCACAGATTATTATATTCTGACAGTTTTGTTTAATGATTTTTTTACACTTCCAAATTAATTTATAAAAAGAACGATTTTTTTGGCATTATAGGCCTACACACTAAATTATTCTGTTGAAATTATCACAAACTAGTTTATGCCTGCTTGAGTCCTTCTACACATTTATTTTAAAGTAGCTAAGTCTCTAACTCAATATCATCCAAAATCTTCAACATTGAAAACACAAATTATTTGACAAATTAAATCAACATTAATGTTGTGATCTTACCGGAAAAAGATGGGCTTCTGATATCCAATATTTAAGACAAAATAAACATTTTACCATTGGTACACGAATCGTGTACCATAATGCGTTTCAGCCCCAGTTCTAGCAAGAGCATCGAGGAAAGAGGCTAGACATATTTCACCAAACCAAACGGTGTATGTAGATTGGAATAACCAGGCGCTAGAAATTTGCATTCGATTGAGACTGCTGGCTTATTTTGCGGAACATAACTGATTTGAATTTAGAGTAAAAACGGAAACCATTGAATGTATATCAGTTTATATACATTCATATTACAGTATCATATGAGTTGCGACCCACTTGTGTCAGTTTCTAGGTCCCAAATGTTAGCGATTTAGCTCCTTTAATTATTATTTTGTCATTTTTGAGCCAGCCATCACTCATTACTTCTGTGTTGTCTTGTAGGATATGTTTTTCTTTGTGCATAACAAATGGCACTTGAAACCATTGGGTACACAACTCGTGTACCGATTTTAAAATGTTCACTGTCAGTGTGTCTTAAATATTGGATATTTAGGATCCCATATTGTCATGTCAAGATAGCAACTTCAATATTGATTGAAATGGACCAATATTGAATTCTAATTCAGGGTTTTTAATTTCAAATATTATTGACAATATTGAGTTACAGGTTTATCTCCTTACGACCTTAATGATACATTATGTAAGATTTAGATAAAGAGCTGACTGTGCTTGCTATAATACTTCAAAAGTACTTCTGTGTTGTCTTGTAGGATATGTTTTTCTTTGTGCATAACAAATGGCACTTGAAACCATTGGGTACACAACTCGAGTACCGATTTTAAAATGTTCACTGTCAGTGTGTCTCATATTGTCATGTCAAGATAGCAACTTCAATATTGATTGAAATGGACCAATATTGAATTCTAATTCAGGGTTTTTAATTTCAAATATTATTGACAATATTGAGTTACAGGTTTATCTCCTTACGACCTTAATGATACATTATGTAAGATTTAGATAAAGAGCTGACTGTGCTTGCTATAATACTTCAAAAGTAGATAATAAAAAATTAATATAGGCCCTATTACAAATTTCATTCAAATTACTTTATTTTGCGTGAAGTTATCAGTGTTTGAAGTTTTGACAAGATGTAGTGTAGATTATTTATTATCATAGCAATGGTACGTTGCTAGACAGTCGATTTAGTCTTGATTATCCGGGCGTCTAGTCAATTTAAATCTCAGCTTACTATCCGATGCTCTGAGAGTTGATTATGGGTTTGTCACGTGATTAAAAGTCTAAATAATACTATATAGTTTATATAACATTTGAAGCCAAAATAAAGACCTGCAGTAGACAGATTTAGCTGTTACAATAATGCGTCTTTAATAAATGGCAAGCATTAATTTTTGCTTTACACACTACAGTGTTTGTGCTATTAGTTTGTCATACTAAATTATGTAAGTTTACTAACAAATGTAAGAATTGTAACATTCATTTTCAATTGGGAGTCAACTTATATAGATAATTTTTTGTATGTATATAATTTCAGATGAATTGACTAAGTTAAGAAAGAGAGTTGCCGAACTAGAGGAAAGAGAAAACAGTATTAAAACAGATCTGGAAAATGAATTTGGTCAAAAAAGAGCTAAATTTAAAGAAATTTTTCTACAAAAAGAAGGTATTTGTATGTTATATTTACATACAGTTCATTTGAATAATGTGTTTATCTAGATCCATATATGTATTTGTGACTTTAAGAGCCTAAATTTAAAGAAATGATTTCCTTTCGTAACGTAGATTTAAAGCTATTTTTATACAGCCACATTGGAATTGAATTGTATATTCTGGCAGTTCTCCCTCCCCCCCCACACACACATACTTTGTCCACCAATTGTTTGTTGACACTCTGTGCTCTGCGGGTAAAGTTATCATCTAAGATTGACTTGATAAGCTTATTAATTTCTAACAATTTCTGATAAAACAAACAGCTGAAGAACTAAAAACCCATAAAATTGTAAGTACCAGTATTTCTGATAGTTACTTTATGTGTTGTTGCACTTTATCAGTTTTTAATGTCTTGTAAATATTTCCACAATACAAACAGTATAAAAATGTTATACATGGCCAATTTTTGGACTATTTGGGCAAATGTTTCATTGCCTGGCAGCCTATCTTTATTTTATTATACCATTATTATTTGTATATTTCAGAGGAATTAAATAAAGTAAAGGAAGAATCGTCAGCATCTGAAGAAAGAGTACAAAACTTAGAGAAAGAACTTGAAAAAGTTCTCTCAGAATTAGAAGGAGTAAAAACGGCGGCAGCCTTATCAGAGATAAATAAACAAGAAGTAATAAAAACAATACAAAAACAGTGTCAGGAAGAAATAGCTTCTCTTCAAGGGCTGATGAATGGTGAGTAAATTCTTGGTCCAGTATTAAGAATTTCAAAACAAGAAAGTGGAATTTATAGAAGAGGGTGCTTTAACGTTATCATCTTGAAAAAGCTCTCCCCAGTGTTTTCCAAATCAAATTTTGTTTGTAAATTGATTCAAGTAAAACACTGAGGAATGATTTAGTCCAAGTTGTTGCTTTAAGTGTAGTGTAGTTTTTTTTTTTGTTTTTTTTTTAAATATAGTTTATTTATAAAATTCATATAATTACATTCAGTTATGCATAATTATATTAACAATGCAATAGATAATTTATAATTTAATACAGTAGAATTATTTATTTATTTACAATTGTTATATACAAAGTCAATATGTAGTTCTGATTGAGAACCTTGGCATCTGATATCTACATTGACAGATGTCCGCTAAGGAAAATGACACTGGAACAGATTTTAATGATTAATAGCTTGAACTGTGTCTTCTTTTTGGTGCTTTAGTTGATTATTTTAGTGATAAACAATTTAATCAACAACTAATATGACATGATTCAATTGTCAATCAACAACTAATGTGACATGATTCAATTGTCAATCAACAACTAATGTGACATGATTCAATTGTCAATCAGATGATAAACATGTAGTGTTCAACAGTGGGTAGTAGGTGTTGATTTCCTTCATTTTATATTACTGTGACATACATGTAGTAGCCTGACATTATTCTATTGCTTTTGGTAATTTGGGACTAAGTTATAGAACTTTTAAAGCCAGACCATTAGACCAATGATAATTAATTTTCCATGACCATGGAAGTCACTATGTATTTATATTAGATAAACGTTACACAGGTCACAATTCTATGGAATACAATTTGGTAACTGCTTCATTTCCATACTGATGTCTGATAAATTGTTTCCATGACATTTAGTAATTGAACTGGAAATACACAGGTTACAATTCTATGGAATACAATATTTATTCAATTCTTTGGAATACAATATTTATTCAATTCTTTGGAATACATATTTATCCAATTCTATGGAATACAATATTTATTAAATTCTATGGAATACAATATTTATTCTATGCTGAGTGATTATTTTACAGAAGCAGCTAATTATAAAACCCCGAAATGAAATGAAATGGTGGTTTACCGTCTGTTCCGACTGGGCTAATGAAGACAGCCATATTCCATACAGTCTTGTTTGGAAGGAAATTTTTCCCAGACAGCGGTGCTACGGTCTACTCGTATCGAATTCCAATTGTCAAGGGATCTTTTACGTGCACGCTAATCTGTAGATGGTACCTCGTTTTTTCCCATGACTATACTTTGTCCCCTGCCAATATTAGATAAATATTTATTCTATAACTCATGAATATATGATATTTATTTTATAGAAGCTGCCGATGAGGCATCACATTCTACAGCAGCACAATATGATATAGAAAGAAATAAACTTGTGGATTTAACAGGAAAATATGAAGAAGAAATTCAAGAATTAAGATCAAAACTTGGCCAAGAAAACCGGTATATTTATATTCTTATATATATTTATATATTTCATTATCGTTTTAAAAATTGCCACATTCCAGTTTTGCTATATGAAATGATTTTTAAATTTTGGAAGACACAACTTTGTAAGATGTATGCTTCAAACAAATATTGTTTAGCTTTAAAGGAGCTAAACTTCTTTGACTTGGGGTGTTAGGTAGCTGAATGGTTAACGCATGTGTGTTGGATCAGAAGGCCTGTCATTGAGTCAGGTGATGTGGTTTTGATTCCCCATTGTACGTGACAAGGAGTAGGGTAGCCTGTCCAACCTTGTGGGTTTTCTCCTGCTCCTCCGGTTTCCTTCCAATGCTAAAGGACAAGTGAATTATTGAAATAAAATTGAACCATATGTTAGTCCCAAAATGACCTGGTTTATGTTGTGTGGAGGCTATTCCAAATTTTGTTATCATTTTTGGCTTACTGTGTCGACAATGAAACACAAAATCGATAATGTCTCAGCACTGGCTTTATCAAAAGACGTAAATTTTTCAACAGACATTTTCACCCCACAAATCAACACTTAAAATCCAATAAAACTGAAATTTAATTTTTTTTTATATCAAAAACGAAGTGATTTGATTAGTCATTTTAACAGATCAGAAATCTAAACACTAATTTTGTTCAATCTTTGTGTTTTATAGCGGAGAAAGTTTCTTAACGTCTGTAGCGAAATCACTGAAGAGAGTAGGTGGTAGCCTTCCTTTGTCAGCTAATACTAGTATGGACCATACTGCAGAAAATCTCGAAGACAGCATGAAGAAGGTAATATTAATCGCCATAAAAACATAATAAAGTGGTTATGTCAAAATATGACATCGAATAAAAGAAGTGAAAAATGAAATTTTATGGTCAGTTTATGGTCGATGTTGGTGTTGTGACTGATAATTGTCTCATCTGTAGTTTGATGGCTGATTAATAAGATTTTTACCTCACATAGACCATCACTGAGATCACTTACAGCTTTTATTTAAACAATATTTTTTTATTGTTTAGGCTAAAGAAGATGCAGAAGTATTAAAATCGGTTGTATTACCCCTAGAAAGAGAAATATCATCTCTACAAGAAAAATTAGAACAAGCTGAGAAAAAATTAGCACAGTTACAGGTATTCATTTATTTTTTATTACTCTCTATTGATATTTAAAGTCTTAGGTTGTCATTTTTAGGGATTATTATTAATAATCCCTTGCAAACTACAATATTTTGAAAGCTGAATCTCTGAAAGGAATAGCAGTCCAAAATGGTTCAATTGTGTTTATTATTTCCAAGATATGATGAATTGAAAGGAGCTGTGTTTTGTTGGTCAGATGGGTTGAAAAACCAAGGTCCTGTGTACACTGGTATGCATGTGAAAGAATCCTTGGCAATTGGAATTTCCCACATAGTAGTTGTACACTGTATGGCATATGCGAGCCCATATTCCCAAAGCAATGGCCTGTACTCATATTGACCAGTCATATTATGGCAGTGTTTTAATGGGATTCGGTCTAATCAAACCAAACACTACAAGGAGTATGGCATATGCCTGTCTTCATTAGCCCAGTCAGTGCAGAAAAGTAGGACATTAAACCTCATTTGATTTCATTTCAGTTCACTTTGTCACAATCTTTGACATTTTGGATTGTTATATTTTTAGTTGGACAGTTAGTGCTTCACAGGTTTTTGGAAAATCTTACACAATGTGCTGAATATTATTTTTTTTATTTTATTAGCATGATGATCTTCTTAATGGTGAAGACAGGAAATCTCCTTCTTTACCTGACCTGGATGATCTGACTAATTCTGAAGATAAGATCAACCAGTTAGTAAAATATCTGAAGGCTGAGAAGGCAGCAAGAAAGGATTTAGAGATGTTTGTAGCAGTTCTTACCACCCAGAAAAATGTTTTGAATGAAGACACTGATAAAGTTAGAAAAGAACTTGATGAAGGTAGGAACTATAATTAATCATTAACTCATCTCCGAGGAAACCCAATTCAAAATTTAGAATATAGTAATTTTACTATTTTGAAAATAAAATTATAAATTTTGTTTTAAAACGTTTTAAATAATCAAGAGAAAATTACTTGCCTTTTTTAGAAACTATTTTAGAATTATTTAGAAACTCAAACAAATAAAGATATACTCTTCAAATCTCTGGGACCTAAATAAGGGATGCACTTTGAATTAGATTTTGAATGTTTTTTCGATTAATAATTTTACAATAAGAGCAGTGAATTATAGTTTTATATAAAAGTCCTGTAATGTATTTTCTTGAATTTGTGGATTTTGAAGATGTATTTTTTATTCTTCAAAATGTTGAAATTATTGTTTTTGTTGTTTGTAGTTTGTCATTTACTAGAAGATGAGAAGAGCAATCACGACTCATTGAAACAAACATGGCAGATGGCTAATGACCAGTTTCTAGAATCTCAGAGATTAATGATGATGGATATGAGAAGAATGGAAGGTGTGTTATCTCAAGAACAACAAAGACAAATAGCAGGTTAGTATTTGATTTCCTTCTGGCAGGGTTGGATGGCCAAATGCTTGTATGTGACAAGGAGTAGGGTCGCCTGTCCAACCTCGTGGGTTTTCTCCGGGTCCTCCGGTTTCCTCCCACTGCTAAAGACCCCTACGCGCAAGCGAATTGTTGAAATAAAATTAAACCATGTGTTAGTCTCGAAATGACCTACATGTAGTTTGTGTCGAGTGGACGTTAAACCCCATTTCTCTCTCTCTCTCTCTCTCTGATTTCCTTCTACATATTATCTGATAGGTAGAAACTCAAATAATTATGAATCAAGTTATCTTTCCATCTATAATTCAATTCTTGAGTGATCGTCGCTGTTGATGTTTTATGACCCGGGACTTTACTAGTATACTATAATACTATATTGTAACAATATGATCATAATGTGTATCTTTATAAACTGTCTTTTCCGAGAGAACATTCTTTAACACATTTCTCGATGTAGATAAAACTAAATTTTTGTCCTCTATATATTTTGTAGAGTTACAGATGCAAGATTTAGAACGTGAAGCTCAGGAGAAGAAGGTTAGAGAGTTGGAAGAGGCGAGAGAAAAGCAAGAAAAAGAACAAGCTGAAAGACGTAAAATCAGTGCAGGTAGGAAGTTAGAAAACAGGAGTGTATAGGTTATGAGTATGTCAACACTATAAATGTTAAAGTGAATAACGCTGTCAGCTATTGATGTTAACCATATAAACAGCAAAAGGATCTGTTATTAACCCTTTCAGTCCCAGCCATGTTTTGACATCATAACATGTGAGTGCCAGCATGTTTGTATTAAGTCAACTTTGAGGATCTGTAAAAGGAGAATTGTGAGGGATATAATACTTAAGTTAATTTTGAGATGTATATGGCACTGTAGGGATAAAATGTTTGGCACTGATGTTTCATTTGATGTTTTAAGTTATTTTATCTTTCTGTGTTTTTTTTAGAGAAAAAGTTAGTGGATGCAATACCCCTGGTGAGTTTATTTAGTCAGTAATATGACAAGTACATACACAGAAATAAATATTGAGTGTATAATTCATTAAAGCATCAATGAGGCTTTTAGTCATTTTCCTTATATCAATTTGCCTTATTTAGATTAGAGTTAAGGCACTGACCTCAACTAGAATGTCTCAGGTATGGCAAAGTATGACAATTTGGTATATATGGAAATATATAGACACCCAAAACCTAGAAAAATACTGGATTACCTGAAAAACACCTATGGGGCAAAAATGTCAGGGTATCACTAACTGGCAACCCGAATTGTCTGCCAGCTTATTGTGTGCTAGCTTGACTGAGGGAGTGGTTGTTATTTCTTGATCAAATAGTTAGGCGTTTTTGGAAACATTGAGGGGTGTCTATATACCAAAGACTCTGCAATTAAACAGCGGAAAAAGTAGTTGACAGAAAAACCCATCTGCTTTCAGAAATGCTTGAATGCAGTATTCTTTACATGGTCCTATCATTATTGAATAGGGAACTAGAGACTTGTGAAGAAAATATAATAACCATATTTTTTACTCATATTTCTTTCAGAAAACCAAAGATTTACTTGATAAATCGAAAAGTCAATCAAAAGCTTCCCTGGCATCAACAAATTCTGATGATGTTGATTTATTAAGTAATGATGTTCCTCCTTCCTTATCAAACTCTGATCTTAATTTAATAGCCGATGAAAAGTTTTTAGACAGTGGAATCCATGATACCAGATCTTTAGGGGATCTAGAGACAACGACCACAGTTCGAATTAGTCCAGATAAAGTTTTAAATCTTCCTTCTCTCACCGAGGCCCAAATGAAGGCCATTACAGGTAGATTATCTTTTCATGGTAATTACAATTCATAGTTTTAGCTCATATCATTTCAAATTTATAGTTATGGACATCCTTTTGTTGGAGAGTAATGCCAAGCACATCAACTGAATAACAGGTTTTTGTAGATGGCAGCAGCGTTTCTGCCTACTTTCCATTGAATTCCAAATGTCGAAGGTTATTTTATGTGCACATCAATGAGTACCCATGTGGGCGTTGGTTTGTTGTTCCTTCTGAAGGACTAGGTAACATTTTAATAATCAAACCTTCAGACACTAACCCTGACAATTAGGAAAATGCATAAAAAATCCTGAGATTCTTCTGGACCAGCACTGAGATCCGAACCCTGTATATTCTAGTCAGAGTCCAGTGCCCTGAATAAAAGACGAAAGACGTATACAACTTATTAGTTTGATTGAACACAGTACACATCTGTGTAAAATTTAGAATATTTTCATCTCTTGATACCATGTAGATTCTTGATTGATATTTTATAATATATATTATAGATCTGACACCAGAAGTAGAAGCACGTAAATCTCTTTTAGCTGTAGCAAAATCGAAATCTGATATGTTATCTCTAGAAGGTAAACGATTGGTCAGTGAACGAGAATGGAAATTATTACAACAAGAGGTCAGTTATCTCCCTTATTGTTATTTTTGTAAGATTGATACATTTGATTTTTATTGATCCCCATTAATTTATAAACCAAAGTAGAATTGTTTTTTTTTTCTAGTGTCTCTGTCAGATTGACATGTCATGTATGATTCAGTTTTATAGATGTCCATGAGAGTATCAGGGGATTGGGTGACTTGGTTTCGATTCCTCTCTTGTATGTGACAAGGAGTGGGGTTGTCTGTTCAACCTCGTGGGTTATTTCCCAAAATGACCTAGGTTGTGTTGTGTGAATATTAAAGGCCATTTCTCTCTTCCCCTTGACAGTATCCATCCTAATTAGATATCTATTGATATGAAAATATATTTAAATGATCTGGAAAAATATATTTGTTGCCAAAAACATCTTTATATCTTACAATATACTTGAAGAGGTAAAATACAATGATCATTAATAACATGGGATATGTATACAGTAGAGTGGTGTTTCAACAAGTGTTCTCATATTGTTCTAAGCACATATTATTTGGTCGGAACGTTGTACTCTATGAATAAAAAAACCTTATGACCCTTGCGTGTCAAAACATATATGGCGGATTGTAAGCTAGGCTTTAGGTAATGTCAAATTCTATTTCAGATGAAAGCATCTAGAGAAAAATTAGGTCGGCCATGTCATATGTGTTCTAATTATGAAGCCCAATTACAAACTGTTCAAGAAGAGTTAAAAGAATCTAAGAGTGAGGCCCAGAAACTTGATCGTCATTTGAAGATTGAGAAAACAGCAGTTGAAAATCAGCGTAAATATCAATTAGAATTAGAGGAAGCCATAAAAGATAAAGCAGATGAAGCATTTAAACAAGTAAGTATTATTTAACTTAAATATTATTTAGATAAGTGAGTAATATTTAACTTCAATATTATTTAAACAAGTGAGTAATACTTTAACTTAACTATTCTTTAAACAAGTAAATAATAACTATTATTTAAACAAGTAAGTAATACTTTAACTCGTTTTATGTATATAATCTTTTATTATACCATTAAAACCAGTATATACTATGAGTTTAAATATCCAACTAATATTCAACTAATAGCCCCATACCCAATCAAGTCTATTTACACCTTTCCTTGTGCATGCACACTTACTGTCTATTTATTGTTACAGAGTTAACAAGTAATAATTTAACTATTATTTACAATTATTATCTTCTTGTTTAATGTCTTTGTGATGTTTGAAAATTGCCGTTTAACATCCTACTTTTCTGCACCATCAGGGCTAATGTTGTGTACTACTACTATTGTACTCACTAATAGGGAGGTTGGGTGTCTGAATGGGTTAACGCTTGCACTTTAGATCATAAGGTCTGTCATTGAGTGAAGTGGTGTGGTTTCGATTCCCTGCTTGTACCTGACAAGAAGTGGAGTGGCCTGTCCAACCAATATGAGACAACTCATGCCAGGTTAGAAGACAACTCATCCCAAGTTATCAGCTATACTGAAACTCATACATAAAGATAAGGATATGTCATATTCTGACGAATTTCTATCAGACAATGATATGGAAACAATCAGCATAACTGGGGCCAACATTTTCAGTCACATGTATGGTTAAAAGAAGGAATTGAAACATCTACACTATGATAAGTATAAGGAGCGGCCAAAACTAAACAACTTAATATTTAAAACAACAATATCAATTTTATTAAAACAACAATATCAATTTTAAGATAACACATTTTTATAACAAAATCAGAATGATCTGAGTGGTCTTCAAAGAAAGCAAATGTATTAAAACAAATATAACTAACACTTATATTTGTTGGGATGAGTTGTCTTATATCTTGACCCATGTTTTAAAGTTGGGATGAGTTGTCTTTTATCTTGGGATGAGTTGTCTTTGGGATGAGTTGTCTGTATACCCTTCAGTTGCCGGCCACTGCTAATGTTCCCTGTGCACAGGGGAATAATTGAAATAATATTGAACCATATGTTAGTTCCAAAATAACCTAGTTTGCGTTGAGTGGACATTAAACCTCATTTCTCTCTCTCTTTGTACTGAGTCAACTTTTAACAATACTTTAATCACAAATTCGGTTCTTCTTATAGTTTGTTTCTGTTTACAGATATCTAGTCTTCAGAATAAACTGAGTGAAAGTGAAAAATATTTGACTCAAACCAAACAACAATCTATACAATCTCAATTACAGCTACAGGATCAACTGGTATGTTCTTATCTACTTCTTTCTTTAACACACAGTTACATAAAGCCCCTCTTGAACATATACAATATTTATATTAACAGGTACTTAAAGATACATTATGGGAGATAAGATAAAGAGATGGCAGTTCTCGCTATAATAGTTAAAAACTAGATAGTGTAAAGGTAATTTGCTGAAAATTTCAGTCAAATTGATCCACTATGAGCCGAGAGTAATTTTTGCATAGTCTCGGTTATCATTACTAAAATCATTAATATAAACAGCACAGTCTCGATTATCCACTTTTTCTGATTTAATTATCTTTGACCGTTAGCGGCATATAGGAATCTAATCCAGCCTACATCGAAGGCTAGCCTTGACATCGAGAGTTTATTATGGTCTGGATAAGTTAATTAATGTCTAATTGATAATTTAGATAACATTTCAGGCCTAAAGAAAGACTTGTAATAAGCAGATTTTGCTCTTGCATAATGCATGTTTAATGGTCAAATTTAGATTTTTACCGATCATATTGATTCTGAACATTGAAAAATCTGGAAGAGACACTTCTGGAATTGAATCTCAAAATTAACTACAATCGAGTAAAAAGGGGGATTTCGATCTACAACGCATACGCCGAATGCATTAGTAAATATGTCAACCAACCGTTATAGCTGAAACATATTTGTTGTATTTATTTATGTCACGCTTCTACTTACACCACATCCTTTATCATAACTGAGAGAACTATGACAGGACTGAATTCTGTGTCACTCAATTGCAATTCTGTCAATTTAGGACATTCGGGACTGTAAATGGAGCATCCCCTATTATTCTTTATTATTATTTTCAGAAAACATTAACAGATAGTAGAGTAGAGATCCAAAAAGAAGTAAGTATTTATAATATTATTAAAGGACAATATTGGTGCCAGTCATTATCACATATGTGATAGAGCTGGTTAAACACATTCCAAATATAATTTTAACACAGAGATCATTGCAACGATAGCTGAGTAATACAGGTTTCCTGAATCGGAAGTGACGAACGCCAAAGGAAAACACGAGTAATCCCTCTATATAACTGACTGATGTGACGAGTGATAACAGATACACGGCCGAATTTCTGCAGACAAAATATGAATTATTTGAAATTTGAATGTTTTGTTCACCAAAAAATATGAATTTGAAATTTGAATGTTTTGTTCACAAGTGATTTTTAATTGTGGTCTGAATCCGTTTGCTTAATAACGATACAAGTTATGCCCCTTTATTTTCGGTAAAAATGTCTGACAAGAAACATTGTGAAATAGCAACTCTGAGACAAATATTGAAAGTCTATTAAAAAAACAAAATGAAAGTAGAATGGAAATATCAATACGCTATATTTTGATTTGCAATACATATATAGCAGATGATCTGTAGTTGAATGATTCAACATATGATATATTTTGTGGGCAACTCTATTCATCAGAAATTCTAAGATAGGTATCGATTATGGATTGTGTGCACATGTTTGTGGACACCAGGGAAGGAATCATGACTTTGCTATATTGATTACTTTGGCAAGATATTTCTTGATCTTTTATGAATGTCAATCTATTCAATAAAATTTTAACGTTATTGTATAATTTTATGATGTTCGATATTTATATATTTTTAGTTACCAAGTTTTATTGTTATTGTAGAATGTTATAATATGGAGTATTTATATATTCTTAGTTACAAAGATTACAAGATGAAAATGATAGTTTAGTTGGTAAACATTCGAAAACAGCCCAACAATTACAGAATGAAGATATTAACTTACCAGATAATATGGAGGTTAAATTAATTTTATCATTATCTTTTCTTTTTTTTCATCAAATCTGTTTTGTGCTGTTGTGGTTTAAATTCAAATAAAATAATTTGTTTTCTCTTGATATAAATAGGAAATAGCTACCGAACGACAGAGCTTTCATTAAATATTTTTTTCATTTTGCAGTTTTCCTTCATTTTCTGTCTGTTTTATTTCACAAATAATAGTCCTTATTAAGAGTATTGAGGTTGTTCTTGTTTTGTGAAGAAATGAAATGAATTGGGTTTGATGTCTTCCTTTTCTGCACCAATCTGGTAAATTAAGATGGACATACGCCATGCAATGTGCTTTAAGGGAAATTTTGCCTGGACGACGGCGCTACGCCCTACTCCTATTTCGATTTCCAACTGCCATAGTTTTCTGTACGATCCGAATAACTTGAGCTTTTCCATGCCTATATTCACTGAGCCATTATTTTGTTAAAATTATTATTTTTGTAGGAGATGCAATTATTACTATTAAAATATCGTGAAGAGATTATACAAGTTAAAGTAGCCAAGGAACATTTAGAAGATACTCTTCGATCAGAAATATTATTTTTAAAAGACCAAGTTGTTTCGGAACAACAAGAAAAGAGCAGAATAGAAGAAACATTAAGTCAGGAAATACATGTTCTACAAGAAAAACAAGGTATAGTTTATGATGATGTCTATAGAACATGAGTCTTTTTTGATATCAAAAAAGATGAGTAGAAGATTTTATTTGTTACCCAACCCTTTCTTACACGCACAAACAAATAAATATAATTCTTTAGTAGATATTTTATTTTATATAAAGTAATATCTCTTAGGAGATATCGCTCAGTAGATTATGAAAGTTATCACACAAGCGATATTTACAGTAGAATGTGTTGTTGGGTGATACTAGTTCAATATTAGTACAACAATCAGTACCTGGAAGTTATTGATATACTAGATACTCGAAGATAACGTCGAACGTGTCTGGTAAGCTGACATCGAAGGGGTTGAAACTAAACTGATATACAATTGAAATATATCATTACATACATATTCTTGCTCATACATAATATTAAAGATGTTTTATTGGTGCCATTGATTCCTTCATTAGCAGATTGAAGTTTTAGGCCATACAAAAAAAATATTCTGGTTTTAAAATTCTGCCATCTTGTTAACTCACTTTGAAGACAAGAGAGTAATCCTATTCAAGAAGGATCACAGTTAGAGTTGAGTCTGTAGTTACATATACGCCCACATTTACTGTGGACTTATATTGTCATCACTCCTGTCTGTCCACCCGTCCATAATTTCTTTTATTGCAAAAGATAAATTTATCTGACATTTTATGTTAAAACTTATCATTTCTTCTTAAGATGATGCAAGACAAAGTACTTGATGGAATGTTTTAAAACTTGCGAGATATGGTTCATTTTGTAAAAGTTTGTGAAATTTTTCATTGGGGAAAAAGTTTGAACCTTATTGATATTAAGAATATGTTGATCTTAGATCACAGAGTTAACATTGTTGGCTTTTTTAAAACTTGCCCCACAGGTTTTGTTGACACTTATTTTAGACCCGATTTCGTTGTTGCTATGCGTATTAATTAACAGATCAACCTTCAAAAACTACTGTAATAAACAAATATAATAAACCTAATATCTTTTCAGCATGTTTTGATAGTATACAATCAGAACTTGAGAGGGAATCGTCTGTAAGGGCCGAAGTAGAAAGTAAATTCCGTGAAACAGAACAGACATTAAAAAATGTGCAAGCAAAATCTAAACAACTAATAACAGTTTTACAACAACGTGTAGAAGAACATGAAAAAGCTAAGGTAGGTTCTGACTATTGTAAAAATATATTATCTTGATGTAAAACCTGAACAAGAAAACACAATCCATGTCACTGTTGACAATGTTGGATTATATATAGAGAGATAAAACTTAGTACTTCCTATATATATGTATCAATATTATTATATGCTTATAATGTCAACTGTATTGGTTTCAGGCAGTCTGATTTTAACACAGATTCTATTTTATTTTGTTTTTATTGTTCAAATTTTATTTTATTTGTCTTCATCACAAAGATATAGGAAAAGGTTTGTAAATAAACTGTGTTGTGTATTAGTATTATCCTAAGAACTGGTCTCTTTATTGAGTTATATGTGACTTGTGGATGGATTTATGGAGACATCTATTATAGAGCAGAATAAAACAAAACCAAAACCAATAAATATTCATAGTCAATATAATTTTGAGGCTCAATACCACTCTTGTTGTAACTGAATAATATGTCCCAATCTTTATTCTGGTCAACAAATTGTACTATTTTACAATATTCCAATTAATTGATGATACAAATTTCATCTTAACACACCTAATTTAAAAATTTTGAAAAATTCAACATAATGGTTTGAAACGTCTAACGTAAACCTTTTCAAATGAAACTTCGATTTAAAAATATTTTTGAACCCTCTGGACAAGTAAAATAGGATGTAATGGATAATTTACGCAACAGGTAGGACACTTAAACATCTAGTACTTAGATAGAGATATTATTTATTTTCTGGAGCTTTCAAGCCAGCAAGAGTGTTATTGTCCCTTTAAGGTTCGTTGATGTAACTGTCTTCGCAACCAATCAGATCCAGTCAGGCCATCGGAATCATAAAACAAGCAAAATTTAGATATGAATACACTTAGACATGATAGCACAATATTAAAATTGGACATATATTTGTTTGGATTAATCTACTGTGTATCAAATGGTTATGTTGTAATTGTGTTTTATTGTAGTCTAAATTTGAAGAAGATATGCATGTTAGTAGATGTAAGATACAATCTTTACAAGTTGATCTAGATAATAGTGAAGCTGTACAGAGAGATTTCGTTAAATTATCTCAATCACTACAGGTAAATTATAAACTTTTGTTTTATAAACGTAAAAGGCTTATGATGGTACGCCTTTTCTGATGTCTGCCCTGTCTCTTAACTTTTTCAACGAAGGTAAAATCACTTGAAGTATATTAACCCGAGGTTTTAGGCATGCGAACTGAATAGAGGATATAGCTATATTGAGGGCATTACAGTGGTTTCTTGAAATGAGACATATTTGTCCATTTTCTACTTCTTCAATTAAACAGGCATTATACAAGAGCTAAATCTGCCTATTGCAAATGTTATATAAATTATTAATTAGACAAGACAAGACCATAATCAACTCTTGATTTGAATCTGATCTGCGGTTCAACGGCTGTTGATGATTAACTGTAAAAATGTATAATTGTTGAGAGAAAACGTTTATTGATATTTTGAATCTGAAGAGAATACTTTAGTAATGCCATTGTTTGTAACCATTCAATGCATCTAATGATTGAAGTCAAAATAATTGACATTTAAATATTATAGATTCAACTAGAGAAAATACGTCAGGCTGAGAATGAAGTACGATGGCAACATGAAGATGATATTGATGATTGTACTAATTGTAAACAACAGTTTGGAGTTACTCGTAGAAAGGTAAAAATATATACATTTTATACATTCCTAGGAAACATGTACATCATTTTTAATACAGGAAATATTTGGTAAAATTGCCCTAAAAGATGTAAATACAAATGGAATTTGAATTGATAAAATTTGAGATTGTTCTGTATACATCTATGCACAAAATTGAAAAGTTGAAGACATTTTATTTTTGGGGTTAGAAAGCTGCAAGAGTAGACTAGATGACTAGATGTGACCTTGGACCAGCATATCGTCTGCCAAATTTATGGTTGACAAGTTGCAATTTCTTTATTATTTTAATAATCATTCTTCATTAGAAATTTCAATTAAAATTTTGGGAGGGGCAACACAGGTGACACAATAAACTGAGAAATGAAATGAAATGAAATGGAGTTTAACGTCCTACTGTTCTGCTCCTATACTGGGATAATGAAGACGGGCATACGCCATACAGTGTGCTATGAGGGAAATTTTGCCTGGGCAGCGGCACTATCGCCTAATCTTATATCGAATTCCAACTGCCAGGGGATCTTTTACGTGCATTCCAATATATACACGGGACCTCAGTTTTTCGTCTCATCCAAAAGACTAGACAGCTGTCCTTGTCAGGTCCTCCGTTCTGCACCACTGACAAGAGGAAACTACGTCGGAAAATCCTGATGAACTTTCTCGGCCAATGCAGGGATCGAACACCCGACCTCCAGGCTAGTGAGCCAGCATCTTAACCACCTAGCCACCGTGGCTCCCAATAAACTGAGAGATTAATTATTTATTTTCCTTCATTTCAGCACCACTGTAAACATTGTGGTAAAATATTTTGTAGTGATTGCATAACAAAAAGCGTACAAAGCGGTCGAAGTCTACGAGCGTGTAAAGTTTGTGATGTTTGTCATACGATATTAGTGAAAGATGCAACTCCTTACTTTAGTACAGAACCACCACCCTCTCCAGATTAAACACCACTCATACTACAGCTACTTGTCTTTTAATTGAAGGGAAATTTTGCTGAAGAAAATAAAGATTTTGAAATTGTGATGATTTTATGATATTTATTTAGATAAATTGTTACAACTTGATAACCTGCAACAATGTGATACAGGAGGGAGGGTTTTTTTTATTTTTGTGTTTCTGTTTTATCAAAGTATCACTACTGGGCTAAATGAATTCTCACATCACATTTCATGACACTACATTTATCTCATATTGTTTATAAGAATGTAAGATTATCCAGTAACACTTATCTCATGTCGTTTATAAGAATGTATGATTATCCAGTAACATTTATCAGGGTTGCATAGCATTAAACCTTTTGCCCGGGGATAATATTTACATGAGGTAGTTAATGAGATTGTTTATATTTTTTATTTTGTGAAATAAAAACAGGTTATACGGCCCTCTTAAAGTGATGCAGGAGTATCTGAAAATCAAAATGATCACTGAAAAATAAAAGTAAATTTTAGTGCAATGAAAAAATGATATAATATATCATTAATTAGCTACTTTATTTAACAGTGGTATGGGAAATTTTTATAAATTCTTCAGCAGAATGTCCCTTGTTTTTATTTATTGAATTGTAATTATAGAATGAAATATGGGGTTTTAATTTTTATTATTTTTCACCGTGAGAATATCTATATCTAGTGTTATTTCTGTGTGAGAGAGAATGGATCAAATGATTTTGGCTAATCCTGTTGCTTGTTTTTGTTTGAATTCCATAATTTTATTAACCCATTAAATCAAGATGTTACTTGGACTTTGTTATAAGATTCACGAGAGAGAGAAATGGGGTTTAACGTCCACTCGACACAAACTAGGTCATTTCGGGACTAACATATGGTTTAATTTTATTTACATAATTCGCTTGCGCGTAGGGGTCTTTAGCAGTGGGAGGAAACCGGTATAAGAGTCACAGTAAGAATTCGGTGACCCTTATATGGTTCTTTTTTAATTTTCACACATAGGAACTAGAGAAACTAAACCTAATTCTTACTATAATGGTTCATATACAAAATGAAATGGGGTTTAACATCCTACTGTTTGGCTCCGACTGGACTAATGAAGACCAACATACGCTACATAGTGTGCTATGGGTCATACAGCCTACTGGTATATCGAATTCCAACTGTCAAAAGTTTATTTCCTGATTTTTATACTCCACATTGAATTTTTGCAGCAAGTTATTGGCGTGCGATGAACAGAACTATGGGTATCCTACTAGAAACATCAATGCTTATTGGTTAATCATATGTCTGACGTCAAAGGTTCAAAAGCCGCTCGTATGACCCCTGATGGGACCTCCCACTGCAACTGGTCAGGTGTTCATGTAGTAGAGGCCATCGAAAGTATAAAAAAAAAAAACGAAATATAGATCTGTATTTTGATCAGATTGAGTTATTTAGCACTGTAAAATTGGCATGAATATATGGGCAGGCCATCCAGGCACTTACATGGCATGGAATTTGGAGAGATATGGCTTACTCCATGTAGGAACTAAAATTAACTAGTTTTATTCAAATATATCTGTAACGGCTCCATTAAATCTTCATTGTTATGATTTTAATGTCCGCAGTATAAGCTTGAATGCTTGAATTGACTTTTTAAAGTACATGCCAGACAGTAAAAGCAGATGGTCAATGATAAATGCAATAGGATGAACGTTAAAGGTACCATAATACCTCTCTTATTATCATTTTATACGTAACTTATGTGTATTTATGAACATTTGTGTATGATGTATAGTGAATGCTGATAGATTTGAAAGATAACAATAAAACATTCCTTTTAGTTATTTATTAAAAAATTACTTAATGCATTTCTTTTTTTATTTATATTAGACTAATAGTTATAAACAAAACCTGTATACTTATCATTGTTTTAAATTTACTGCTTGGTTAGCAGTTAAAATGGCTCATTTATTATTGAGTATTTATTGATGTCTCTTTAACTTACTCCAGCTATTTGTTCTCTTATTGTCCCCCACCTTTCGAAGAAAGCAGGGGACTATTAAAATGGGTTCGTCCGTCTGTCTGTCCGTCTGTCCGTCTGTCTGTCCGTCACACTTTTTGGGACACAATAACTCTCTTCCTAATTGAGCTAGAATGTTCAAACTTGGTGTATGTGTTGATTAGGTCAATGCCTTGATGGAGTTCGAAGATGAGCATTTTCCGCTTAGGGTAAGCAGAGATAAGCAATTTGATTGGTTGATGCTTTGGGACACGATAACTTTAGTTCTAATTAAGTGAGATTGATGAAACTTGGTGTATAGATTTATTATATGAATACCTTAACTAAGTTCGATAATGAACATTTTTTGCTGAGGGTAAGCAGAGTGATAAGCAATTTGATTGGTAGAAACTTTGGAACACAATAACTCTCCTTCTAATTGAGGTAGAATGTTCAAACTTGGCATAGGTGTCTATTAGGTGAATGTTTAAACTTGATGTATATGTAGATGTTCATTAGGTGAATGTCTTGACTGAGTTCAATAATTAACATTTCGAGCTGAAGCTAAGCAGAGCTAATCGATTTCATTTGTCGATGGTTTGGGACAAGATAATCTTGATTCTATCTGATAGAGAGTGATGAAACTTAGTGAAAAAAATAAATGTGCGATTAATTAATATGTGTCATCTATTTATTTTGCAATTTCGGCGGGGGACATCAGCCTCACTGTTGACTTGTTTCATAATTAAAGAGGCATTATCACTCTGATTCAGCATAACAGCTGCTGTTCGGTCCTGTCTTCATTAGTCTGGTTAGTGGAAAGCGTTAAACCCCATTTCATTTTCACTCTCATCAAAAAAATAAATGTAATTAACCAACACTATTATATTTAAAATAAACTTAAATTCATGTAATTATGAAAATTCCAAGTACATGTATTAACCTGATTTTTTCATGGGTGTTCTTTAAAGCTCATTCCCAGAAAAGTATTTATCGAGTGGTTATTTCCAATAAAAGTATACAGGACAAAAATGTACGGGTATCCCTAATCGACAGCCCGACGATTAGGAGTGTCTGCACGTATGACGTCGAAGGTTGCACATGGAGAGAGAGCACTTGATGTACGTCATGTTGATAAACTTTATGAAGAGTAAGACATACCATATTTCTAAGATAAAAATCACAGAAAAAGATACGGGCAGTGGATAATTCGAGAATTTAATTAGGTTTCGATATTTGTAATAAATAGTCAGCGATAAAGGCAACATCGTCTTTTGTATGCAATGAATTCTCCACCAACATCGCACCCATTGTGTCATGTGATGGAGTTTTTATAGCTGGGTATTCCCTGACAATTGCAATGTTTTGGGAAGGATTTGAAGCAAAATTATGATAAATTAATTAGTTTGAATATGTTTTTAGTCCAAATATATCATCAAATCACCCAGATTGTACCCGGGAATGTATCTTTAAAACTGTATAAATGTTAAAATCTCTGTGATGGCTTGGCAGAGTTATCTCAACCATTTTACATAATGAATCATAAATTATGTTTTTTTAAATGGAAGACATTGGAAGTGATAATGCCTCTTGAAACGGATGACCTTGAAGGTGATAATGTCTCTTTAAATTTGTTAGAATTTTGGTGGGTGGGGGTGGGGGGGGGGGAGCAGGAAAATTTGTACCCTACCAAAAGGAAACCTAACATTTTGATTTAAAAATGTCAAGCTTGAACTGGTCCAGGCATACTATAAAAGTTAAAAGCTGGATTGGACATGAAAAGTATGAGAGGATCATCGACCCACCCTAATCAAGTATAGTATTATCAAATTCTGTAATTAAACAATGATTAATCCTTAAGATGTTAAAATTTCAAAGCACTTAGCTCTAGATAGCATGTATTAGAAGTTAACTTGAAATCATCTCATGACACAGAAACTTTATTTCATATCAGTGTGACCAGTGTCAAATTTACCTACAGGCTTGGAAGGCTGAAGTTTAGGGACTCAATATCTATGGGACACCCGATCAAGATATATAATATTTTTTACCATCTTTCATCTTCCGTTAGTCGTGAGGATGAGGGATTTAGAGGGGTCTCACAATTGGAATAACTTAGGGCCTCTCTACACCATAGGTTATTGAATGTTTTAAGAAATCTGAATTATAATTTTAGAGTGTCTAGTCATAGTTTAGTTATAATGTGTGTATGTAAAAGCACTGCACATTGTCATATTATAGAAAATTCATATATAAGTTGGGGAATTCCAGTTCAATCTTTATATAGATGATCTAGATCTAGACTTCCAGTAGAAAAATTGTGACAAAAGAAATGACAATTTATTACATATTATATAATTCACTGGTATGATTCATTGATTTTTTAAAACTGTCTTTAATTAATGAATTTTTAATTAATTTAGTTTATTAAACGTCTGATATTGTGCTTAGTTAATGAATAGCTTACAATGTGCTAAAGTAAAACTCTTTATGAAAGTAGCTTGCTAATAGGCAAGTAGGAATTATTATTTATATTTTGTTTGTAAATAGTGTCTATTATATACTGTATGTGATATTTGTAATTATAACATTGTTTTAGTTTTAACTATAAAGGTATTAGAACATCAATAGTAATTGATTGTTTTCCCTAATACATGTGTATTCCCTGTGTTTGCTATGTAATTAGACTGCCCATGTTTAGTGCGATTACTAAAAGGAAAAGTCTGGCCATTGCCTATTCTTTATATTGTAACTTTGCAGTGATGTCAACAGGGTAACTGCCAGTCACCAATTGATTGTTTTTCCCTAATACATTTGTAGGCCAAATGTTAGCAGTGTAATTAGACTGCCCATGTTTAGTTCGCCTTTTTTGATTAAAAAAGAGGAGTCCAGTCATTGCCAATTCTTTATATTATAACAAATTAAGAAGTTGGATGTGATGTTAACCGGGTAACTTGTCAGTTAGTGTTTATAAACAACAATTTTTGCAGAAGGGGTTTGCCAGGTTCCTGAAACAATGTATCTTTTAGTGTGTGTATGGGGGGGGGGGGGGCTCTTCTCCCGGCCTTTAAAATTTTTGAGAAATGCATGGTCTCTTGTCATTTTGGTGTATATGTGGGATAACCAGAGGTCACTTTGACAGAAACTGGCTATGTCGTCACAGGATTACGCATTTCACTTTCGGTTTCCTCTAATATAGGACACCCTTAAGGAAATTTGACAGTTGACTATGCATGATTCAATTTCATCAAAACTTGATAATGCATGAAATATAAAGAATCTCCACGTTAACATTGGTCATTGCTTCCTCAGGTGGATCAAGGAATGACAAAGAGTTCTACGAACTGTCCTCAATTCTGTGATGGTTATTTCGGTTATTAGATATAAAGGTCCAAACTTTCCATGATTAAATGTGGTGATAAATCCGGAATATGACGCAATAGAGGTATCCGGACGTCTGTCCATCCAAATTTGTTTGTCGACACTTTACAGGTCACAACTTTTATTCGAGTTTGACTAAACTTAAAATATAGGTCTATCTCACAAAGATCTCGATTCCTTTCGATATTGGCATATATCGGACCATAACTTCATGGACTATGGACCCTGATTGCACGAAAAATCACGTTTTTAGGTTGTGGACAATCTAGAGGTCACAATTTTGATGAAACTTGAAATGCATGTTTATAACCCAAAGATCTTGGTTCCTTTCGATATTTGCGCATATCGGATCGTAACTTCCTGAATTATGGCCCCTGATTGTACGAAAAATTGCGTTTTTAGCTTTATCCGATTTTAAAAAAAAAAACGTTTGAATATATCACCATTACACCCTAATAAAGGTGGTTGAGTTCGAATTTCGTGAAAATCGGATCAAAACTGCGGGACAAAATGGCCGCCCCTCGTACGCAAATAGTGTAAATATGTGGTATATCAAGGTTGTGGACCCTGTAGAGGCCACAATTTTGATGCGATTTTGATGAAACTTGAAATACCTGTTTATAACCCAAAGATCTTGGTTCCTGTCGATATTCGCGCATATCGGATCGTCACGTCCTGTTTAGCTTGTTCTCTGGTATCTTGCCTGGCAGCCTGTGGTTATGCACACCTTGAACTGTGGTCGTATATTGTTGTCACTCCGACCAGTCCGTTAGTTTCTGAGATCTGCTTTTCAAACTTGTTTGGATTATACAGCTAATCCAAAGAGTTAACGCGTTTTTGGATATTGGTTTTGGGAACTTGCTGGATTGGTTTTAGTTTGACCAACCCATGATTTATTTTTTTCTGTGGTCAACTGTGCAATGTTTTCCCCGGACAATGCCATCATGCAAAAGAATTTACGGTACGGACTGTATCTTTTGCGACCAGATCTTGTCAGAATTATGCCGTTGGTTGATTTTATATTATTATCAGAACGCACGCCTCTTTGCTAAAGAAAATCGCCCCCTTCTTTCAGTGATTTGAATCTTGTCGAAAAGTCTACTGAAGATTTGATTTCCACAGCCTTGGTTAAATGTATGCAAAGAAGACAAAAAGGATCAGATTAGTCCCTTAAAGTTGTTTCTATTTCATACGCACTGTAGATGGACATTGGCCTTGAGACATGCATAAAAAATAAATTAACGTAGAATTTTTTTTGTTTATCTCACTGAACGAACTAAGTTTGTAATCCGTACATCAAGGACATTCAAAAAGGTGAAAAATGCTATAAAATTATTAGATACTGTTTATAGATCACGATACCCTTGATACATAATATTCGTCATATGTTTTTTTTATAGCTTGCTGTAACAATGGTTATATTGTAAATTGCAAAGTCATTTATGTTTTAAAATATATATATACACATGATTTATGTGTTTAAAAAAGTTATATATAGAAAAAAACTGTCAAACACGTGCCAATTTTAAATGTTACGGTTTTTATTAAAGGAGCTAAGTCGCTAATATTTGGGACCTAGAAATTGACACAAATGGGTCGCAACGCATACAATAATATAATATGAATGTATAGAAATTGATTTACATCCAATCGTTTCTGTTTTTACTGTAATTTCTAATCAGTTAGGTTCGGCGAAATACGCCAGTATTCTCAATCAAATTTCAATCTCTAGCGTCTGGTTATTCCAATCTATCCAATGTAATGTCGCGTAAAAATGTCGTATTAATTGTCCTGTTAAAATTTCGTGATGTCAGGTTGTCGACCATATTCCTCTCAATATACAGTTTGATTATGTACACTGATCCTGGTGTTGGTCAAGAAAGTTCCCCTGGTTTTTGCAGCGTGGTTTCTCCCTTTCGGTTGTGCAGCCAATCGGACTATTGAAGATAGGCATACGTACGCTACGCAGAGTGCTATGACGGAAATTTTCTATGGACAATGGCATTTCTTCATCGAATTCCAAATGTGAAGAGTTCGTTTATGTGCACGCCAATACACCGGGGCTTGTGTTTTTGTCCCATCTACAAAACTAGACACTATCCTTTGCCAGAACGTTCGTCCTGCACTACCGGCAGGGAGAAACCACGCTTCAAAATCCCGGGGACTTTCTTGGTCAGCATCAGGATCAGTGTAAATAATCGTACTATATATTGAGAGGAAGATGGCCGACATCGCGACATTTTAACCCGACATAACAACAATTTAAATGTGGTGTCGGGTGAAATGTCGTATTGTCGGGTTAAAATGTCGCGATGTCTCGTTGTTGGGTTGTCGACTTATGAAGGGCGACATCACGTCATGGATACCAATCAGCCACCATACCTGCTGTGTTTTCTGATACCCATATTTATAGTATTTTCTAAAGCGGCGGACTAGTGAACCTGCGGACTAGTGAGTATTCCCTTGTGCGATAATCCGGAACTGAATTGAGCAAGTCGTTAAGGCTTACTTAGAATATTCTACACGTTTACTTAATTATTATTTTGTTGTTTATGAACCAGTCATTACTAATTACTTCCACATTGTCTTGTAGGAAATGTCTTTCTTTGTTGATACACCTATAATACCAATGACGTTAGGCCATTGAGACCTACTCTGGAATGGGTTTTTCCAGAGCCTTATATATAGATATAAGGCTCTGGAATGGGTTTTTCCAGAGCCTTATATATAGATATAAGGCTGTGGGGTTTTCCAAAAGGAAAGTCACGTGACGCGGCACAAACACTGCCGCTCAGATATTTGGCTATCAGGAAGCTTTATTTTTGAGGACGTCAATGTCTACGTCATTTATAAGCTGCGGAAACACAGGATCCCATATTTTCACAGCAAGATAACAACATTAATACTGATTAAATTTAATCCCAATATTGAATTCTAATTCGTGTTTTCAATTTCGAGTTTTAGCTGTTTTAACATGGTTTACGATAAAATATATCAATGCAAAAAAACAATATTACTCTGAGCGAGAGCGTACACTGTTGTAACATTATAGTGTGGATATTTTTTTTTTAATGATAGGGTATACGAATAAGTGGAGGGCATTTTAGTTTAGTCCAACCGTGGTACACAAAATTGGGTATTTCTTCACACTGACCTGATAATATCTACAGACGTAAAATTGTACGTACCGAAAATGTTTAATTTAGACGCCGCGTTGTAATTTGAGGCAGTTTAAACAGAACACTTTGTTATTGACCGGATTTGAAGCCAGCGTAAGACAATTGAGTGAAGTATGTGATGTAAACCTGACGTTCTCCTTGGGCATTAATAATCGCCCATGATTTATCTGGACTTTATGAAGGGTTAATGGACCATAGTATGAACTATTTATAACAGATGACACACGCGTATGTGATTTTACACATTGAATACGCAAATATGATTGACATTTTGAAACTTGTTTGTCACTTGAAACATTAGTTGATCGCTTTATATCTCAAACACCATTATTCACATCCCGCCTACATTAATCAAATTCATTTGATCCCGAACAAACCCGGTACTGCATAATCACATTGTCTCTCTTTGCGCACAGACGCTTAATGTGCCTGGTACCGTGTGATATCATTGTCCCCTCTTTGCACAGCTGCACTATATTATTGTTCTCGTTGTTCTTTTTTGCATACACACGCTTTTCATACGCCCACATTTTCACACGGACGTCATCGTCGACCCTGCCCAGGACTTCCGCCCAGAATTTGTTTGTGGAAAGTTTACAGGACACAATTTTTATCCGATTAAAAAACCCGTTAAATATATCACCAGCGGTGTTTCCCCTTGTCAGTTGTGCAGGTCGGAGGGTCTTACAAGGAACAGAGTCTAGCCGTTGGAATTCGAGATAGGCGCAAAAAGATAGGACGTTAAACACCACTTAATTACACTATTTTCCCATTGATGTTCTTTGCACACACACTTTTGAGGAACCTGCTACTGCATGATTCCCCTGTCACGATCTTATGCTAGCTTATTAACCTACCCTATTCCGTTGGCCCCGGTTGTACGTGAGAGGGAGTAGGGTCGCCTGTCCAACCTCGTGGGTTTTTTCCGGGTCCTCCGGTTTCCTCCCACTGCGAATTATTAAGATAAAATTGAACCATATGTTAGTTCCGAAATGACCTAGTTTATGTCGAGTGGACTCTACCACTGTAATCCAACTTTTGCGAACCCATAATCAGGTTGGTGCAGGACAGAGGGGCTGGCAGGGGACAACGTATAGTCGTTCGGATGGGAAGAAAAACCGAGATGCCGTGTACACATTGGCGTGCACGTAAAAGATCCGTTGACAGTTGGAATTCGATATAAGATTAGGCCGTAGCGCCGCTGTCCGGGCAAAATTTCCCCTGATACCACACTGTATGGAATATGCCTGTCTTCATTAGCCTAGTCGGGGCATAATGATAGGACGTTAAACCCCATTTCATTTCGTTTCATTTCCATGATCTGGTTTTCAAGTATCAAGGTAAAGTTTATGATAAAAACAATATATCACGCTATACATCTAATATTATGGTACGACTTACCGAAGATGCAACAATGGTCTTAAAAAAAAAGAATGTGCACAAACTTTGTTAAATTTTTATTAATAAGGATTTCAACAGATTTTCATTGGTAACCTTTTATAGTTCATTAAGGTTAGTATATTCATAACACATTTTACATCTTTAAGTAACCGTCTTATCACGACGGCTTTCTTCTGACCAATTATTCCACTTTTTCACTGGATTCCAAACTCAATGGTTATTGTTGCGACCTTCTGAAACGTTCTTGCAAAAGAAATCAGATCTTGGTACGTCCGGATGCACATCTAAACTTAACAAAGTTCTAACAGGCAACCTGAAGCATAATCTACCAAGCAATCTACCGCACCACTTGGTCAAATCCTTCAAATATGTTACGATTAAGCATTATGTTTTGACATTTTATTCTGTTAAGGGACCAGTGTTGTGTCCATCGGGCCAATACCACTGGTCTGCTTGGTCGTTTATTACTGGCAGAGTAGGAGACACAGAAGAAAATGTTGAAATATCCATAAAGGTATCTTCTGGAGACAAAGGACTAGATGTTGATGGTCCGGCCAAGGCCACATTTTGGGGTACCAAAAGCGGATCCGAAACTTGAATAGAAAAGGGGCTATGGTGCTCTGAATATCCGGTATCTGCAACATTTGAAGTTTCTGATCCAGAATCCAGTATTGTTGTTTCTTCTGGATTAAGCTCTACTGCTGATGAACTGATCGGTGCACTATTACTAGGTGGGTGATCAGGCGTCCCAAAAATGATTCCAGGTGGTGGAATATGGTCAGAAGACTTTGGAGAACTAGCTACTGATGATAATGAAGAAAGGGGTTCCCCAAATGATGTACCTTAAATAAAAATATTTTAAGAACTTTAACACCAGGGACTAATTAATAAAACAATCTTAGGGTACTGACTTACATCATGATAAAGCAGAATATATGAAGAAGATTGAATTAATATAGGTTACTCACCCATTTCCGCTAAGCTTGGTCCCAATGATAGGGATTCTGAAATGAAGTGATATCGAAAAGATTAGTATTTCAAAACATAGAAATTACACCGAATTCCAAGATCCTCTAACTACTGTCTGTTTTATATATCACCCGAATTCAATGCCCATCCACATTTTATGGTCCCTAAACCTTTTCCTGATCTACAGATTAGACTCTTGATCACTGGGGATGAAGAGCACGGGAAACATGGTGATGGCTATTATTTTCGGAAAGAGCTACCAAATACAAATCGTGAACCTGAGGTGTAGTATACATACCATCCCACCCAACAAAATATGCTAAGACAGAACCTGAAGTCCTTTACCCTTTGCCTTACCCAACAGCAGTGTTGTAACTTACCACGGCCAGCACCAACAGATCTAGGTTGGCTAGGGCTAGTTGAACTATTGGATGGTGCTTGATCTGAAGATACTTGGGCTGGTAGTATGTTCACAGATGACCTTTTGGTAGAAAAACCGGCGGGCCTTGGGTTAAATATTGGCTTCTTTAATTTGGTCTTTGTAGGGTCTGGTAAAAGGTTCACAGTTGATTTGATATTTTTCGGATAAAGTGGAGGTTTTGCGTTTGGTTTTTTAAATTTTCTCGTTTGGTTTGGAGCTGGTAGTTTGTGGTTCATTTTGCCGATAATATGGACAACAGTATCAGTTGTTGTTTGGGACTGGACACCACCCGCATTATTATTTTTATCTACATTCGTCAAGTCTTTATCGACGACTTGATTCACTAAAACATCTTCTGGTCGAACAAAACTTTCTGATTGATTCTGGAATCCTGAAAAATATGTTTTCCTCTCATTCATATGTTGATATTTATTAATGGGTTGGTAAGCTTCGGTGGACACTGGTATGTACCCACTTAAATAACTTATCGGCAAGGAGAAGTCTTGATTTTCAGGGTATCTCTGACAAAGATTAGTTTAGTTTAAATATGCAAATCAAATTCAAAAACGTAAAGGAATACCCTATTTTTTATTGTCTAAAAGTTTCAGATCAAAATAGTGAGTTGTTTAGGAATTAATTACGTAAAGTTTTTAGATAGCTCGCCCACAATTTTGTCATTGTGAATACGTGATGTTTCGATTACGTTTGTAAACATCCACAAGAGGTGATTTGAACACAGACATAACTTGCAATTACTCGCTAGAAAACAGCGTTGTAAGACAACAGTAGGCTACTGATCACTTATCACAGAGCATCGGATAGTTGCTTGGGACTAGAATAAAGGGGTCAAAGAGTCGTTCACATGGAAATGACAGGCTTTATTCCCCCAGAATTCTCCTTTATCAATGCCTAAAAATGAACCAAAAAGAAATCCCAGAGAATCCACAAATTAGATGCAATGTTAAATCTTCTTTATCTCAAATATGTTCTGATGTAAGGCGTGTTATCGACGGTATCGTTATACATTTAATTTAAAAGTTAAAATTGCATACCTGATTTCGGACTGGCTTTTTTTTTATAAAACCATTACAGTGATTGAGTAAAAGATGTCCATACAGATAGATAAAAGCTCCAGTGACCCCTTGACTAAAGGTATCTGACATTAATACCCCTGTGTCTACTTAACACAGACGTAATGACCATCACCCGAGGTCATCAAACAGAATCCCGAGCAGATTAAGGTACATGTAAATCACAGACAACGAATGACCACGTCTTAAATAATTAATTATTAAAATGTGGATCCCAAGTCTATTCAAAACTTAGAAATGTATAAACTCTAATGTGCATGACAAAACGAATAATGAATAACGTTGCCTCGTGGTTAATGATCAAATGGAATTTGTGGTTTAATGTCCTAAGTCTCTGCACCGACTGGGCTAATAAATCCGGGCATACGCCATACAGGGAAATTTTGCCCGGACAGCCGCGCTGTGGCCTATTTTTATTTCGAGTTACAACAGTCGAGTGTTCATTTACGTGCACGCCAATGTGTACACAGAACCTCGCTTTATCGTCCAATCCGAACGACTATCTACCCTGTTCTTGCCAGACCCTCTGACAAGGAGAAATCTAAAGAACTTTCACGGCCAACACCGGAAGCGAACCCGAGACCTCCTGGTTAGCGAGCTCTCGTTCTACACACTGAGCCACTGTGGCTTCCTGGATAAATATCATGATATAAAGTATACCTACCAGTGTTTATATTTCTCGCGAATCCAGTATCAATTAAACAGTGGAGACAGGTGAGGATGATAATACAGGTAACTTGAACAGACATTCTTACTGTAATAAAAACAATTAAAGAAATTTTCTAAAATAACATGCGTGCTGTATCATAAGGCCTGTCATTGAGTCAACTGGCGTGGTTTCGAATCCTCGGTTGTACGTGACAAGGAGTAGGGTCGCCTGTCCAACCTCGTGGGTTTTCCCCGGGTCCTCCGGTTTTCTCCCACTGCTAAAGACCCCTACGCGCAAGCGAATTCTTGAAATATAATTAAACCATATGTTAGTCCCGAAATGACTTAGTCTGCGTCGAGTGGACGTTAAACCCCATTTCTCCCTCTCTCTCTAAAATAACATCAGATAAAGATTCTCTATTGTTATGGTTCAACGAAAGTAGGCCTATGAATTAATTAAAGCATTTCCACCTATAATAATGAAGATGTATTACTTGTCAAGTGTAACATGGTAGAAAATCAGATATTAAACAATAATTTATTTTTTTTACTCGTGGAACTAATAAATCGACCGGGATTTGATTAAACACATATTGAAAAAAAGCAGAAAGACCTTCAACTTAAAAATTTATACTTAAAAGAATTGATCAGTTAGCATTTTATATGAAGTTGATTGATTGTTTAAAGGGGTGGGTGGTTTAATCAAAGATCATAAGGTCTGTCATTGAGTCAGGTGGCATGGTTTCGATTCCAATAGCTTGTACGTGACAAGGAGTATGGTCGCCTGTCCAACCTCATGGACTTCTCCGAGTCATCCGGTTTCCTGCCATTGCTATATAGACCCTATGCGCTAGCGAATTATTGAAATAAAGTTGAACTATATGTTAGTTCCGAAATGATATAGTTTATTTCTAAAGAGATTCCTTAGTTTTGATTTAGTTTTACAAACAAAATTTCATGTTTTATTAAATTTCAATTCAAAAACATTTCCTAATTGATTCTAAAATAATGTTGTCTGTTAAAATATGTTATTACTTGCACTTTTAGTTGTTCAGATTAAAATTTAGGATTTTTAAAGCTTTTGGAAAGTTAAAGATATTCGCATCTTTACCTTTCAAGAGAGAATTAAAACACATTTTAATATTAATAACAAACAAAGTTTCTGATAATCGTACCTTTATTTAAGATATTAATTAGAAATAGATTTGCAACAATCAAGAAAGTTTCAGTTAGTCGTACTATAATTAAAACACATTTTTAAAAATGAAATAAAAGAAAATTTCCAAGAAATAATAAGAAAGTTTAGGACTATACCTATTAGTTTGTATATTATTGTCTGCTAATCCTGTCTCTAATCGCTGTCATAGTTCATACTTTCATCGGGGCTTTATTTCAATTGACACTACCTGACTCAGGAATGAACCATATACGTCTATTTGTATACGACGTCATCGCTGACTTGTTGGCCATCACGATGACTTCATATTGACGACCCGTTTTAGACGGGCGTGGTCATCTGTCATGCACAGAGGAAACGTGTCATACATCATCAGGTTTTATAAGTACAGCATGTGTTGTTACCACTAGGAGCAGGTGCGTAATTTAAAAATAGCTGCACCTTTCATCTTTAAACAAACAATGGTTGAACATAGGGCAAAGCAATTTGTGCGAACAAGGTAATCGGTAACAAAAAGTTGAAGAATTAAGTTTGTCGTAAAACATGACACAAGTCGGATGTCATATCCTGATCTTAGATTAGTAAAGTCATTACTGAAACGCATATTATATTCTAAACATGTATTAGTAGAAGATCCCGATCGTGCATATTTTCTGAGATAACCTAATTTTTTAAAGCCAAGTCCATTTTCTCCTATTGATTATTTATCTAAGGAAACAAAAACCAAAATATTAAAGGTAGATAAGCCCCACCATGGATCCAGTCGGATTTTTTTTAAAAAAAAAAGCCCATCTAATGATTTTATTCCAGACTTATAGGTGACGCTGGTTTGTTTATATAATCTGCAGAGGATAGTCCCCAGGCTTGGATACAATGGGATTAAAAGAAGCCCACCAAAATATTTTACCCAAAACTTGCTGGCTTGTTTGTATCATCTGTACTGGATGCCGAATGTTCCCAAATTTTCAAGTCATCATAACATAACTTTGGTTGGATGGCCGAATGGTTAGCACGTGCGTGCTGTATCATAAAGCCTGTCATTGAGTCAACTGGCGTGGTTTCGAATCTCCGGCTGTACGTGACAAGGAGTAGGGTCGCCTGTCCAACCTCGTGGGTTTTCTCCGGGTCCTCCGGTTTCCTCCCACTGCTAAAGACCCCTACGCGCAAGCGAATGATTGAAATAAAATTAAACCATATGTTAGTCCCGAAATGACCTAGTTTGTGTCGAATGGACGTTAAACCCCATTTCTCTCTCTCTCTCTCTGTAAATACTGAGCGGAAATGAACTATTTTTTACCAAACACTTATATATGGGTGGCGCTTGCTTGTTTGTACAATCTGCACATGTTACCGAATATTAAAAAAAATCTTCAAATCATCATATCTTTGTAAATACTGAATGAAAATAAAATTAATCATTTTTAAACTGTTATTCCACCACATGGCGACCAGCGGCTTCAACAGAAGGAACAAGTTATAATTAATTCAAGATGCCAACAGGAGGGACAAGTTATAATTAATTTAAGATGTCAACAAGAGGGACAAGTTATAATTGAAATCAAGATGCCAACAGAAGGGACAAGTTATAATTAAGTCAAGATGCCAACAGAAATGGAATAAGATATGGTTTAGCGTCCTGGTTTTCTGCACCAACAGTGTTAATGAAGATCGGCATACGTCATACATTGGGCTGAGAAGGAAATTTAGCGTTTGCGCCCACTCTTCATCGAATTCCAACTGCCAAAAGCTCTTTTGCGTGTTAATGAAGATCGGCATACGCCATACATTGAGCTGAGAAGGAAATTTAGCGTTTGCGCCCACTCTTCATCGAATTCCAACTGCCAAAAGCTCTTTTGCGTGCACGCCAACGTGTACATGGGGGCCTCGGTTTCTGTCCCACCCGAACGACGACTACACACCATGTTTGTTGTCAGACTCTCCGTTCTGCACCACAGGCTGGAAAATCCCGAGGAACGTTTTTGACTAACACCAGAATTTGAACCGGGACCTCGGAGTTAGTGAGTTAGGAAATTTAGCCCGGACAGTGAGCCCCCCCTCCACACACACATATCTGCAGGTGGCCTTAATATTTAGATCTGACCGTTACTCACATTCACGATAAAATAAGATAATAATATGTTCAACGTGACACAGTTAAACAAAATGATAAATATGACCTTAATATTTATCAATCTAGCGAAATGGAGTGATAACATTAATGATAAAAGGATAAGTCATTCGTCGTTAGATCAATAATAAAATGGCGAGATCAATGTTTAATATGCAATTTTTGGCAATCATATTCAATCTGTGTGTTTTGCCATTTATAGTTTCTGCTGCTAAGAATGTAGTATTGATGTTTGGTAAGTTCTGTTTAAACTGGTACTTCCGTGTAACCGTTTCCCAATCCTTTTCAACACCATTTTGGATCCATGGTGGATCAGTTAAAAGGACGCTAGCTCAATAACCCGGAGGTCCGGAAAGTTTCTTGGGGTAGGAAGGAAAGTAGGAAGGAAGGGACGAAAAGCGAAGTCCCGTTTATACGGTGTCGTCGTGCTCTTGAAAGAACCCTTGTTGCCCATAGCACACAGAATGACGTATATCCTTATCCCAGTTGGTGCATAGGTGGGTCGTTAAACCTTATTTTTGGTGGGGGTAGAGAGGAGGTAGATAACAAGACCTTTGACTCCCTAGTTTGTGTTGGCCAGACGTTTTAAAATACCATTGTTCCCGCCCTCTCAAGCGTTTCACGGGATTACCCAGTCTGCTTCCCTGGTTAACCATTGTGGAGAGGACATGACAATGAAAAAGCGTCTAGTCGTTTAAGTGGGACTAAAAACCAAGGTCCATCTGTGTACTTGTTGAGGTTTACGTAAACTAACAGAACCCTTGGCAGTTGGAATTCAACGACGAGTAGGCGGAAACGCATATTTACTCACATAGCACACATCATGAACCCTAACCCCCATTTCATTCCATGTGATTTTCTGTATAATTATATTTCTCTATTTAACAATCTGTATATTGTAGGAGATGATGCTGGTATACAGTTAGGAGCTTATAACAATCCTGTTTGTAAAACACCACATCTAGATAATCTAGCTTCACGTGGTGTCACGTTTAAATATGGTTATACATCAGTTAGTAGTTGTTCTCCTAGCAGGTATATTATTATTATTATTCCATTACCATACAAAAAAAGTGGACTCCGAACCATTTTTGCTGGTATTAGATGCTGAGGTGGGGCGGGGGTATTCCCTCGTAATTAATAATGGGTAAAAAAGTCCTTGACCAAATTTGGATTACAAGACATTTGTTGTTACTGAACCAATTTTATACTCCTAGGACACCTGACTAACCCAAAATAGTTTTAGCAATCCCGTCGGACCTCTCATATGCATGATAGGAGCCACGCAGGCTAAGTGGGTAAGACGCTGGAGGTCGCATGTTCGATTCCTACATTGGCCGAGAAAGTTCATCGCGATTTTTCGACGTGGTTTCCCCTTGTCATTGGTGCAGGATGAAAGGTCTGGCAGCTGTCTAGTCGTTTGGATGGGACGAAAAATCTAAATCCCGTGTATACATTGGCGTGCACATAAAAGACCCCTTGGTAGTTGGCGATATAAGAAGAGTATGCTATAGTGCCGCTGCCCGAACAAAATTTCCCTCAAAGCACACTGTATAGCGTGTGCCCGGCTCCATTAGCCCAGTCAGGAGCAGAACAATAGGACGATGACCCCATTTCATTCCATATGCATGATGGCAATTGTCTTAATCGATTACATATCTATCCATATATTATAGCAATATAGTATCACCATACTAAGTTCAACAGTATGGCCGTCTATTTACAACAGATCTAACAGTTGACCATTTGTAGATAATGACTTGAAAACCTTACAGTATTATAAACCTTCCTTGTCAGTCCCGTGGACGTTATCCGTGATAAATGGTATACGGGTTTGAAAAATCCCAAAGGCGGGGCAGGTGGCTTATAGTTTTTAATTCATTAATTTTTCCCCCAAAAAAAGTGGACGGACACAATCTGATTCTAATCCCACCCACGTCACTACGCAATCAAAAAAATCACCATTTTTCTTCTACTTTATGATCAAGTAACAGTGTATTACTCGGCATACTTCTGGTTCCTTCTAGACCCCAGGCCCATGGACTAGTGTCCAAGCTTCCCCCTCTCACGGGCCATGCTACTAATGAACCGAGAAGGCGAGATATGACATTCAGTCTTCTATTTTGTCGCATATTCGCCTTCGATTTATCAGAGAACGGAGCAGGGTGGATATTTGAAACGGTCGTCATATTTAGCAGCTCCCGATGAGTTCGATAACAAACTAACTATATACTGGATCATCCCCCATTGGCAGTATATCGAATTCTGTTAACACCTAGTAGTTGGGATAGCGATTTAAATAAAACCCTGACGTCCACCCGTGGACACCTTTGATCTTCTGTACGTTGATCATTTATATTTCACTGACAATTGTTAACCATCTATATTTTACTGACAACTGTTAACCATCTATATTTTACTGACAATCGTTGATCATTTATACTTCACTGACAACCGCTGATCATCTATATTTGCAGATCAGCTTTACTAACTGGTCTACCGCAGCATCAAAATGGTATCTATGGTCTAGCTTCCGGTCAGTTCCACTTCAGTTCCTTCGATAACGTCATCAGTTTACCAAAGATATTATCTAAAAACCAAATAAGAACAGGCACGACACACACTATTTTGTTAATTAGTAATCTTGTGTATCAAATATTGTCGAGAAAAGTAACACTCTGATCAGTCAACCAATCTTTGTTTCCTTAAACAGTGTCGGATTTACCTACATACATCCCCCACACCAATTTTATAGAAATGAAATGAAATAGGGCTTAACGTCCTACTGTTCTGCTCCGAACTGGGATAATGAAGACAGGCATACGCCATACAGTGTGCTATGAGGGACATTTTGCCCGGACAGCGGCACTATGGCCTACTCTTATATTGAATTCCAACTGCCAAGGGATCTTTTACGTGCACGCCAATGTGTACACGGGACCTCTGTTTTTCGTCCCATTCGATCGACTAGACAGCTGTCCTTGTCAAGCCCTCCGTCCTGCATCACTGACAAGGGGGAACCACGCCGGGAAATCTTGATGAACTTTCTCGGCCAATGCAGGGATCGAACACCCGACCTCTGGGCTAGCGAGCCAGCGTCTTACACACTTAGCCACCGTGACCCCCCACCCCCCACCCCCGGATTTTATAGAAATGTTGAAATGTTTCAGTATCTTAAATATATAATTTACTGTAATTTTCATTCTTATTTTATCTTCATATATGGATTATATCCGTAATGGAGTAACCATTAAACAAAATGAACCCGTGCTTTGGGCATCGTGGGAATGGGGACACAACAGAGTGTCTGCTTTGTTAGATACCAAATTTAAAATATTTAATTCAAAACTTTTCATTGTTTTTGTCTTTTCTTACTGTTTTGTCGCAATTAATAATGACGTGCAGCAAACCACAGAAAAACTATATGTGCTTGACGGTTGTTTATAGTTTATATTTTAAATTATATATATATGGGGGCAACCCTAACCCCTAACCCTAACCCATTTTTTAAAACCACTAAAAAAATATAAACAAACACCATGTGGCCATACTGTCTACCAAGACACCGCATGCAAAAGCATTATGTTTACGTTGCTGGCTGCCCGGGCGATAAATATTTGGTTTAGGCGGTTATGTTTTTGGGGGGTACCTACATGCAATTCACTCTGATAAGTGGCAGAAAAAAATTAACAAAATATTACTGACAGGCTAACTAGATACAATTTTGTGGAAAACAGGTACTTTTCACTTCATACATGTTTCCAGGATGATTATCTCTGTGTTTTATTTTAGCAGTATAAACCATATTGGGATATGTACAGGTTTTATACAGATAGAATCTTAACTAATCCTAATAATTGTTGTAAAAAAATAGGAGTTTGGGGGTCCAAGTATATTCAGCCCCCCCCCCCCCCCCCGAAAAACAATTGGGGGTCGGACCCCCCGCCCCCGGACCCCCCCCCCATGTGTGACGCCCATGGCTTAGGGCCTCTATAGATCTTAATCCGGCCCTGTGCAGGGACTCCATACTCTGGGACCTATTCTTATTTTACAGTGGCCCTTATGGTTTTGAGTATTATATAATGAAACAGTAATACGCGAACACGCTGCACGACAAATTAGTTTCAGTGGACCCTCAGATATTCGTAAATCCGAGCCTGTCATTTGAAAAGATCGAGGCTATATATAATATCGGACCCAGAAGTGGTGCATGAGTGATGTTAGTATTGATTGACAACTTTCGTTATTTTAATCAAATGTGAATGACCTGTCTACACCTGTGTGTAAGCCAATGCTCTTGCATTCTATCAATCAGTGACAATGCTGGACAATTTATCAAAATTTTAGTTATTTTTTACGACCAGATATGTCAAAAATGATTAACGATTCAATAAAAATTACAAGAGCCGGCGGATAGAGTAAATTATTACTCCTGATGAAGCAAGGGGCGGTTCATTATTTATGGTTTATTTTATGCGCATGTATTAAGGATGTCCAAGATCAGACTTTTGGATACGGAATCAAACACAGTCAGCCCCCCAAAAAGCTCACTGCCTGCAAAGCGTATCAACGACCTGTGAAAAACATACGTTCCATTTATTATTGCATATCCTTTACTCGAAAAATTGTTTTGTAATTTTAAACATAAAGTCACGATTCATTTTAATCCTTTAAACCAGTATTATGGGGTTCATTATCAACATTACTATCGAAGTAATCAGCAATTATATTTGGTTAAATTTAATTATATAAATTGATAATTGTACTTTTATTGGCGCATTCAGGCTTTTATCTCTTTTTAAGTTAAACTTGGTTAAGCCCTGATCAATCTTCGAGAATATGTGGGTTATAGTCCACATGAGATATAATTACGCATAAAGGGGTTGTTGCAGTAGGGTTACCCTTTTTTGCCTTGTCAAATTTGAGACACATATGCAAATAAATGGCATGGTAGTCTATTGAAATATTTTATTAGTGGTATTATACAATTAAATTTATTAGGGGTATCAAGGGTGTTACAGCATTTGATTAAGGATATAACAACATGTTATTAGCGTATTATAACATTTTATTTGATTCAGTATATTATATCATTTTGTTATTGTTATTAAGGTATGATAACATTTATCATATGTTATTCGGGTATGATGGCATTTATCATATGGTGGTATTATAACATTGATCATATTTTATGGTGGTATTATAACATTATATTTGTTTATATTTTTATAAAAGCTGTTATCACATTTTAAAATTATGATTATCGTATTAAATGCATTATAACATTTTATTTAAAGATGGGTTCCCAGAAAAGTATTTATCGGGTGGTTATTTCCAATAAAAGTATGGCAATTTTGGTATATATGGAAAGTAGACATATCCAATCTTACTAGAAAAATACTAGATTCCCCGAAAAACACCCATGGAGCGTATACAGGACAAAAATGTAAGGGTTCCCCTAATGAACAGCCCGACGATTAGGAATTTCTGCACGCGTGATGTCAAAGGTCACACGCGAACATTGAGCGCTTGATGTACAAGTTGATAAACTTTATGAAGAGTTGGACGTACAACACTTTCTGAGATAAAAATGACGGAAAAATACACGGGTAGTGGATAATCCGAGAATTTAATTAGGATTCGATATTTGTAATAAATAGTAAGCGATTAAAGACAACACCGTCTTATGTATACAATGAAATCTCCTCTGACTTCCAAGAGAGGTAAGTCACGTGGCGTAAAACATGACCTGGTTTGATCGAATTTTTATAGCAGGGCATTCCTTCGCAATTACAATGTTTGAGAAGGATTTGAAGCAAAATTATGACAAATTAATTAGTTTGAATATGTTTTTAGTCAAAATATACCATTAAATCACCCAGTTTGTACCGGGAATGTATCTTTAAGGTATTATTGGTAAATACCATGTCCAACCAGAATCTGTGTATACATTCGACTTTATGGAAACAGATACGACACACGATGGTAATAAGATAGGAAGAAACATCACCTATATGAATGAATATTTTGAGCAATTTATATCTACCAATGACTCCAGGTAAATTCATTGGTGTAAGTCTTCTGCTCCTAAAATATGCGCTCGACACCTAAAAACAAAACTCATCAAATGTTCTTCACCAGGCATTGTATTTATTAGTAAAGTCTCTGGATTTTGAGGGAAATAGCACACATGGGTGTATAGTGTCTTCACAATGGGCGTAGTAGTTGAGGAGGTTCCGGGGTCCTCCCCCGAATAAATCTTTGAAATTCTGTTGCACAAACGGGTAAATCTAATGTCTTTTAACCAGTTACAATTTAAACCCCACCAGATCAGAATGCAACCTAGATCCCGGAGTTCATGCACTTTGACGTATATATACCGAACTATAATCTTGTATCCAGATTCCTTCTGAAACAGAGATCAGTTGAACCATCTCAACCATGATGGCTTGAAAAGATATATTGCCGCGCCGTGCTTTTAAATGATGCAGGGAGACATTTGCACTCATATATCCCCGCCGTTCCGACGCCCCTTTTCGTCCTCCTTATTCACCCATCCGTTTATAAGTTTTGCAGACACGCAAACAATAAAATGTTTTAAGCCGAATTTTAAGAATTTCTATGAACAAATGACCACACATTAAAGTTCCATTCTGATTTTTTTGTGAACAATAAGAAGAATGGGATAAAAATCGCAGAGTATTATTCTTGTATTATTAAGAGTATACCCTATTTGATATTTGAGATATTTATGCAATTATTGCCCTTGTGTAAAAGAACTGGATAAATTTCACGGGGTACCCTATTTCATATTCACGATTGACAATAATAAATTATTGATTCCCAATTACGCAAATAATAGGCAAAACGCCCTAACTTTTTAATGTATCGAATTTTTCAGGCCGTTTTTCCTGTACATGGCATTCCATGACACACATCGCTGTAACGTTCCGGATGTTTATGGAGAATTTTGTGAGAAATTTGGAGATCCGAGTAAAAGTAATGGAACGATCCCTGATTGGACACCAGATTACTATGATCCAATGAAAGTGGCCCTTGAACCTTATATTCCGGATAATTCAATTGCGAGACAAGATCTGGCCAATCTTTATACAGTAACTGGACGATTAGATCAAGGTAATGTTCAATTAGCATTTGTATTAGTTCCTTCAGGAACGGTCTCTGATCGGACGGTGTCCGCTGACCGTTCCCATCCGTCCTTATATAGCTGCAATATGATTCCTTTCGGCGAAAAAAAGAAGAATCATGGTGAAAAATAGTCGGTAAGGACTCCAAATGAAACTTAGAACAGAGGTGGGGAAGAGCGGTATTTTCAAATGACAGCCATATGTATAGGGATGGAGGAATGGTTAGCGGACACCGTCCGATCAGAGGCCGTTCCTAAAGGAACTACATTTTCATATGACTTCCTCTTCCAGTTTTATTTTAAGAAAACAATGCTAAAGCTGGGGTATGGATTTACAGGCACCGTCATGGCGCTTAGTTACGAGGAACTCGATCACACGGGTGCGCATAAAAAAAGAAAACACTTTTGGGTAAGACCTCTGCTCTTTAATCTGGGGATCGCCGGTTCCATCCCGGTGTTGGCCGAAAAAGTTCATTCGGATATTCCGGCCTGGATTTCCGTTGTCAGTGGTGCTTTACGAAGGGCCTCACAAGAACAACTGTCTTGTCGTTTAGATGGCCTGTAATGCGATGAACAAACATTTGATGAGAGAAATACAACCAACATCAACGACTTAAATATACTACCTGCATTTTGCAAGCAGTTACAACTCACAGTGTCCAAAGTGTGCACACAAATAACCAATCAGAACACAGTGTATTCAAATCTCACCAGTTCGAAACCGAAAAACTCCAACCGATTCGTATCGCCCAAGACTTTCTTTGGGAGATTCCGTTACTCTTCTGTAACATAGAAATTAATGTTTGTGTTTCAGGTGTGGGTTTGTTTATGAGAACTTTAGAGAAGTATAATTTACTAGATAACACATTAATTATCTATACATCTGATAACGGTATACCATTTCCTGGTGCTAAAACTAATCTCTACGACCATGGTATGATTGAACCATTTATTATCTCATCACCAGACAGTAAACAGAACTGGGGAAAGGTACGTCTGAATACATCGTTTAGTCGCGGACTTTATAATTATAAGGTCAATGGTTTAATGCTTAAAGTGGAATGATGTACCCCCACCCTGTTTAACGGGATCATATAATTCTCTACAATATTGTCGCGGTCATACTGTGTTCGCCGCTACAATTGATACAATCTGAGAGGCTTTGCGCAAGTAAAAAATGTTTCAAACGCACAATTCTCAAAACATATCATTACAGTTTCTATTGAAATAAGTAATTCTATCACAAATAGTGAAGACTGTACCACTAAAATAGTTACCGAACAGTGTTTCTTTGTGATAATGCGTTCTACATTTTCGAAGCGATATTTCCAATGATGTACAAGACGCCATGACACCACCCAGGTGAAATTTCGTCAAATATTGCGTCGCGTTAACGCCGCCCATCGCTTCATTATAACTACGAGAAAATATCGGAACTCTCTGAGATGTCAATAACAGCAATCAAGGGTCTTTGGTTTTGAAATTCATATGTTAGTCCCGAAATGACCTAGTTTGTGTCGAGTGGACGATAAACTCTCGTAAAATTGTACAGTTTGTTTAGCAAGGAGAACCTTTATAGTCTGGAGGCTCAGCGCGGGGGGGGGGGGGGTGTCCATCAAATGGGCACAAAACCAGACCCAACTTTTCTAGGGTGAACTTTTGCGTAGAATACGATGCCGAGTGGTAATCAGTCCGCCGTTGGGGCGTTTTCGAGATATTCGGGGTCAAAGGTCAAATGGGTTCATTTGCACTGAAAGTGAACGCGCAGTCATTCTTGTATCATGAAAATAAGCTGAAAATGATCGAAAGTAATCACACTTTCAATAATGTAAACTTGCTAGATTCACCTTTGTTCTTTGTGATCCCAGGGGTCAAAAGGTCACATTTTTCCGTTTTAGCACTAGGAAGATTTAAAGTAATAAATGTCAGCGTAAAATATAAAAACTAACACGAAACCTGTTTTAATTAATAATAGGAACATTTAAAATTTATCTTTAGCTGGTCTTAGCACAGAACTTTTACTTTGGAACGTCGAAAATGATCTTGCATAACAGAACCAAAACGCTTCGGAGCCTGTTTCAAAAATACGTAAAAACTGTTAAATCAAAATCTCTCCGAATTAGTTTTACAACGAATGCTATACATAATGATATAGTTGTCTGAAAAATACAATTGAATAGTTCCATGGCTGGACTCCAGCCTGCAGGCCGCGTCACAAAGCCTGCCAAAATTTTCCCGCTAACATTTACCATTACGACATATATATCCTGTGAACTACTATGTACAATGCATTCTTCGGTTTTATCTGCGTCCATGTGCCGGCCAAATTCATAAAAACTCATAAAAAATTTGCAAAGATTTAATCTCGTCGTCAGATACGTGTTTTCCCACATTGATCCGCAGTGAATATTTGCTTGGCCGCGACAATCACTGATAAGGATACATTTTAAATGTTCCTATTATTAATCAGAACAGGTTTCGCTTTAATTTTTATATTTTACGTTGACATTTTATTGCTTTAAATCTCCCTAGTGCAAAAACGGTAAATTTTACCTTTTGACCTCCAGGGTCACTAAGACTAAGGGTGAATTTAGCAAGTTTACATTTTTATTGAAAGTGTGATTACTGTCGATCATTTTCAGCTTCTTTTCATAATACAAGAATGACTACGCATTCACTTTCAGTACAAATGAACTCATTTGACCTTTGAACCCGAATATCTCGAAAACGCCCCAACGGCGGACTGATTACCATTCGGCATCGTATTCTACGCAAATTTTACCCTAGAAAAGTTGGATCTGGTTTTGTGCCCATTTGATGGACACCCCCCCCCCCCCCCCCGCGCTGAGCCTCCGGTCTATTAGCGGAATTTCACGCTAGAAATTTTGGCTGCAGACCTAAATTTGAATAAAAGCTTTATTTCATCTTTAAGCATTGTTTTTTTTTACCTCATTAATATATTTAGACGCCGGTGCATAATTTTGAGACCGACTGCAGTGAGTGCACTTATTTTGGGCCCGACTATTTTTCTCCCTGGGGGAAATTTTATTCCTAGACCAACATACTCATAATAGAATAAGAATGAAACATAACATTAATGCAAAAATGATCAGTTGACAAGGTTATTTTATACTAAAGGTTTGCGTGAGTAGTGTGACGCATGCAGTGAGCACACATTTTGCGACCGACTGCACTTATTTTGCGGCCGACTACACCCCCCCCCCCCCCACACACACACACATTTGCGCCCCTGGGGAAGTCTCCCACTGAGATAATTTGAGTCAATTTCCTGGCATTTTAGGTCATAGCTGGGAGAAAATTCTTGTGAAGAAGAGGATCAGCGAGACCTGCCTGTCAGTTAAGCCTGGGTTGGATGGCCGAATGGTTAGCACGTGCGTGCTGTATCACAAGGTCTGTCATTGAGTCAACTGGGGTGGTTTCGAATCCCCGCCTGGTCAACCTCGTGAGTTTTCTTCGGGTCCTCTGGTTCCCCCCACTGCCAAAAACCCCTACACGCGAATTATTGAAATAAAATTGAACATTGTGTTAGCCCCCCCCCCTCTCTCACTCTCTCTCTCACACACACTAGTGGTTAAACTATCTGGGCGGTTAACTGTAACCTGTAATTGTGAACATGATATGTGATGATAGTATGAGACCACACAGGAGTAGAAAATGCACAATATGTAATAGGCTTATGTAATATTTCGAGCCTTTTATTTTGGGGGTCTGAGGGGAGGGGGCGTGCTGTCGCCGTGGAGTCCACCCCTTCGCCCCGTCACTACGTCACTGGTTAGGTGCGCTTTATTTGCCTGTTCGGGAATTAGAGTCCGAAAGTAAAATGGAAGTAGATTTAAACAGTATAATGTTACAATTATTGTTGGGGACTTTGTTTAATTATGCTGCACTAAATGTTATCTGATTGATGATAAAAGTAGCACAGCAAGGAACACATAATAATATTACGGGTTAATTAAAGATATTGGGATTTCTTTTACTTTTCTGATTGGTTCTTTTAGTTTTACCGACTGTTTACTACGTTAAACAATATAAAAAGGTTTCGGTTTGTGGGTTTTCCATTGATTCTAAATCCACAAGTAGAAGTATAGTACATCAGGGTCACTGACCGAATTTCGTCATTCAAATAAACGATGACAATTAAAATTAGTGAAATGAAATGAAATGGGGTTTGTTTATAAACATCCTATACTGTCCTGTATCCACTCGTCTAATTAATACGGGAATACCCGGTGATTAACGCGTTGGCCGAGAAAAGTCATCGATATATCCAACGTGGTTCAGTGGTACAGGACCGAGGGCCTGACAAGGCTATAGTCGTCCAGGTGGAACGAAAAATCGATCGAAGTCCCGTGAAAGACCCCGTGATAGTTTGAATTCGATATATTTAGACTGGGCGCCTGCTTCAGTTAATCATACTAAGAGAGGGAAATTGTCGGATAGGGCATAATTGTTTGTCAATGCCTACTAGTCAAACATCTGGATTGCTGCCGGGAATTAACTTGCCCATTTAGGTTGTGTGGGGGCCTAAAGGGAGCCCATTTTCACTTTTAATCATACTTTGGTAGGGATGGACAATTTTGATAATATTTAATATATAGGTAATACTGAGTCGAAAAACACCATTGACAGCAACTTTTTGTTGACAGTGACCTTGGACAGCAAAGGTCAAGTGCTGTCCAAAATTCATTTATTCATACTAAGTGAGGGATGGCTAAAACTTTTTGAATATGATTCATTAGACGGTTCCAAACATTCCTACATCATTGCCAGCAATTTCACACTGACCGGAAGTGGCGACAGTGACAGTTAAATACCACAACATGGCATCAGGTATGAGGCATCAGATATAATCATACATTGAGAGGGATGGCTGATTTTTTTACACAATGTTAAAATATGTATATACACTACAAAAATACAAATGACAGCAATTTTACAGACCGGAAGTGTCGCCAGTGATGATTACGAAATAGGCCCCATCCTCAGATATAATCATACATTGAGAGGGATGGCTGATTTTTTTACACAATGTTTGACTAGTAGGCATTGACAAACAATTATGCCCTATCAGACAATTTCTCTCTCTTAACTGAAGCCGGCGCCCGGTCTAATTATAAGAGTGGTCCGTAGCGCCGTTGTCACACTGTATAAGACACTGTATGGGCATGGCGTATGCTCGTTTTCGTTAACCCTGTCACTGCAGTACAGTAGGCCGTTAAACCCCATTTCATTACTTTGAATAAAAGGCCCGTCTTCATTAGCCCATTTCATTTCATTTTAAATAAAGGTGACGTCCGTGTTTGAAATACTTGAATGGTGAAATTTGGTCAGGAATACCAATGAGTTGTACTCGTAGATTAAAGATACCCACGAAAGTATTTATAGAGTAGTTAATTCTAATAAAGGCAGGGTCTATTTTAAGGAAATTTTCACGGAGCAAGTCCCTCTGACAACGTTAATTCTGGGGGAGGAGGGGGGGGGGGTAAAAGATACATGGTCATTAACGTCAATTTGGCGTATATCACTGACAAAAACTAGATTATACCGAACCCTATGGTCCATTAGACTTATAAGACACCTTGATTGTATTGTATCGCGAGTTAAAATAAAAACCTATATACCCCTGGAATATTGATTTCAACGGGAAAACGGATAGATATTTTCTCTGTGCAGAAATGATCACGATCACGAATGTCTAATGTTTAGCTTGTACATTATTATAGACAAGTAAAATATGATTAAAATACATGTATGAACAACGAAAGTAGTGGGTCTACAACGGAGCGGGTGCGGGTATCAATTTTCAGTCTGTCTGTCAGAAACATTTCTTCTACTAACGAAGTGCGTTACTGTAAAAGGCTTCTTGACATTACCGAGACTGAAAATACCCTATGAACAGATTTATATAGTATCTTTGGGTCATTTCAAATCGGGTTTAAATTGTTTATTTTGTTTCATTTTCAGACTTCCAACGCCTTGGCCAGCACTACGGATATTGTACCCACAATATTAGACTGGTTTGATGTTCAATATCCAAATTGGTCTTTATTCGACACTCAAGTAAAATTGACTGGACGGTCACTGCTACCAGCTCTGTCTAATGTTGACGTCACTGGCTTTGATCACGTGTTTGCTAGTCATAACCTGCACGAGGTCACCATGTATTATCCAATGAGAGTTATCAGAACAAAAGACATACGCCTGATTCACAATTTAAATTATTTTGCTCCGTATCCAATGGCCCTAGATATTTTCGATTCTCCAACATTCCGAAAGCTTTTAAATGATACACACAGGGGTCAGTCAACTGGTTGGATTAAATCACTAAAAGATTATTATTATCGCGCTGAATTTGAAATGTTTAATGTAACCGCCGATCCCAACGAGCTGGTAAATTTAGCCTATAATCCAATGTATTCCAGTGTTTTTGGTGATTTAAAAGCCAGATTGAATGCGTGGCAGAACGAGACTAATGATATATGGCGATGTGAGCCACGTGGTGTTCTCGTAACGGATGGAACCTGTATATCAGCAGAAAATATATTTGACAATTAAATACGAAAATGACCTTAAAGGTTTGTTACTTGTCCACCCTTACAGTCTAAGCATTTACAGGTTACGCATGTTTCATTTCCTCTGAATTCCGAATTTGCAGTCCATAATAGCTGACCTATATTATTTCAAGTTTCTCAATCATACCAACCTTGGATCTCCTTTAAAATTTGGTAGATTTTACATCATTATTTCAAGGACTAGAACATTCACGGCGTTTATTAAAATATTATTTTTTTTCATTTAGTTTTTATTTGCTCTTTAAATTTATGAACTGTGAATGAACCTTTTCTCTGTTTTGGTGTATGTTATTTAGTAAAGTTAACACACCGGACAAATAAAGTGGATTTGTGTCATTTCCTGTTTAAATGACGTATTATAAAATTTGTCTAGAGTGTCGTTAATTTCCGCGTTGTAAACAGTTCTCGCCTCAGTCGCCTGTTCTATTCCCATATTTTATCTGCTATATCTAAAGATGCTTTATGTAAGATTTAGTTCTTACAGTAATAGTTCAAAATGAAAAATTAATAATATATCAAACACCATCAAGTCCGGTGGAGTGGGGGTGGGGGTGTATGGCTATAGGGGTTGTGGGAATTAGCTCCCCCAATAATTGGCCGCAAGTACACCTTTCTCTAGGTTATTGCACACAAGTAACTATTCGGTTAGATACAAACACGTAACCAGACGATGCCCCATTTTAACATAGATGTGAGACTTCTAGAACGTTGACTTCCAGAAAACCCCCCCTGCTATACCCTATACTGATCCCCCATTTGGGAGGGCCGCGATTAGTTAACTGAACAGTCTATCTTAATTTCAAGCCCATCTCACAGATTGGGTAATTAAAAACGACGGGATGGAGTTTTTCTCACACTATTTCCTTATGTCCCATATCCAAATAATTCACTGCTTATGGCCAGTTAAAACAAGCGGTTGCCATGCAAGACACGCCCACATATTTTGGAAGAAATAGATAGGGAAGAGGTAAAATTAACAGTGCTCATACTCTCAAGAAAGATAAGTTGATCCTTAACATATTTGTTAAGTTTCATCTGAATGGGTTTTAGCCCCTCTGGATGGCCCACAAACTTTATACATATTTCACATTTTGCGAAAAAAGCACTGGCTACAACTTTGAAGCGTACCAAAGTCGAACTCATCCAAGAACTTTTGATCCTTGACGCATAGTTTAAGCTTCATCTTATGAAATGGACAATCGCCTCGGAAAGGTCCAGAAACTTTATTCATATTGAACATTTTGCGTAAAAGGCAGGGGTAAGATGCGCACCAAAATTGAACTCATCCGAGAACTAGTGACACCCGTTTTAAGTTTCATCCAAATCGGATGAAAATTGTTGCCTCTAGACCAGTGATTCTCAACCAGTGTGCCGCGAGATCTTCCTAAGTGTGCCGCGAAATTGTGAACGGCACACTTACGAAAATGGGTAAAACCACGTAATCCCAGTTGAGTATTAACTGGTGTCGACTGGTAAGTTCTTGGCTGTGTTTGAGTCATTCTATGTATCTATGACTATTCTGTGTCTACGCTACGGTTGTGTGCCGTCTGACTTACCATATTTTTATTTTGCAAAATTCAAATATTTTTCATATATATTTAGCCAGGTGTGCCGCTTCTATTTTCCATGTGTTCCATGGAAAAAAAAGAAAAAAAGGTTGAGAACCACTGCTCTAGAATGTACACAACCTTGGTATTACTGGTTTTTACACAATTTGCTTAAAGGGTATCGACCATTTGACGGGAAGTTTAGATCCAATTTTCAGGAAATCGCCCAGAAAGCATCTTTAAACCACATTTCATTTCATTTCCCAGAAAGCATGTCCGACGATCTAGACCCTCGCCTATAGTCCTAGGATGGTAGACCCCTTCCCCATCCCACCATCATTGATTGCTTTCGCCGGCCCTGACCATTGGCCATCATCGTTATGTTATCAACGACTGTGATTGGTCTTTCATTCAACGATACAACGTTGACTATTATATTGTTTTGATAGCTGTTTTTGGATATATTTCTTGCGTGCCTTTAAAAACTTATTTTATTCTAGAGAATAAAATTGCGCATTGGAATAAATGTGACCGACAATAGGTTGCATTTACCTTTCGTTATAAAGTACAGCAAATGTGACCGACAATAGGTTGCATTTACCTTTCGTTATAAAGTACAGCAAATGGGTCATTCATTGTATAGACCTCTAAAGGAACGGGGATCGATTATCAGGTCAGCCAACGAAAAAACTGTCCCGAAATCTTAAAAGGGTTACGTGTCCCGGTAAAGCAGTGTTGACATTCCGTCTAAACGACCCAATATTTTGAGATGAAATTTTGAGACAAGTTAAATACACCATTCCTCTATATGTTGGCTCTTAAATTTCATACGTACTCTGACTGTTCAAATCGGGATAGTCCCTTTAATACGAATATAATAAGTTTTGAAGTTTGCTCTGAAATCTTCTGAATTGATATGACTGATTGTGTAGGCGAGTGTTAATTTTAGCAAACGGCAATTCCAGTACGAAAAAATGCGACTAATGAAATTAGAATAAATACTAGGATGTTAATATTAATATGTTAGTAGTTAATTCTCCTTCTACCATAAGGCTGACTGTTCTGTCACCCTTAGTATTGAACCAGGATATATACAGTATTTAAAGTGTTAAACTGTTAAAAGTATAGGCTATATTATATAGATAAGGATCCATTTTGTGTGAACGTACTGGACCGACAGGTGGGTACAACAACTATCACTAATATTTTATAAATCATCGATAAAAAGACATTGTAACCACATCCGATCAACTAAAAAAAATAACGTTTGTATCTTGTGACAATACGTAGCTCGAGTGTCTTAGACACTTTCATTTCTGAGTCTCTACCAATCAATATGGCTCACATTATCATATTATTATAAATGCTTTTATTCAAGTCACGTCGAATTTTACACCAATCTGAGATACCAAGTGAGGACTGCAGATCTTGTAAGATAGAAACTCATTTTATATATTTCAGGCACGGAAAAATGACTTTAAAAGATACAAAAACAACAGAAAATGATAGCGATTATGAAAATTGCCACGGCGTTAATAATTGCGTTGACTTTACGCAGACGGGAGACTTCGAAGTAGTTAAAGCCTACTATGTGGGAGAACGCGTTTTGCTGTCAGCCCATTCGAAGGTTACTAAAATTGTGACAACCAGAAATCAACGTGTTGAATTGGTCGAAGACATTGAAACAGCCGACTACTTCAAAGTGTTTCAGAAAATAACTAAAAAAGCTGGTGTGGAAAAAAACGACTTTAACGTCTGTTTTACCAAGAAAATAGAAGGAAAACGCTACTGCATTAGTCCTGATTTAACATGCATTCAATATCAACCAGACCGTATTGACTTAGTGCTAGATGATCTTCCAGCCTCTTGGGATGGAACTGCGAAACATATCCCTAAAGATCAGTATGGATGTTGGTTTAAATATACAAGTAAGCTATCAAATGGCGATGACTCTATATTTCAGTCCTTTTACTCAGATGAATATTATCTCAGGGTTTCAGATAGCCTAGAATCATTATATTTAGAGAGACAAGTTAATAGTGAAGGGCGTTTAAGCGACGATTATAAATTTAACTACTACTCTAAACAAAACATATCCGAAGAATAATTCGAAGAATTCGGGATTTGATTGTGTAATTGTGTAAGAGGTAAAACTATATCAGACATTTCTTGCAGCTAGGCCTATTTACTCCTGTTATTACGACATTGTGCAGTATGTTGCCTGTTGGTCAAAACGCGGCGGCACAGAAATGAGACTGAGCTTTTAATTTTTTTGGGACTAGGCCTGAAAATTTTAGCCAATGTCATGACAAATGGGACAACATTCTCGTTAACGAGAGGATAAGAACTGGGACAGAATCTTAAGGCCTGTCTGTCAATTTCGCCTGTTTTGTGAGAGTAGAAATAACAATTCTACAGTCTGTCGCCCCACGACCCACTACTAGTGGTACTATATATACTAACTGGGCGATTCACTGTTTAAGACAGAGGAGTTGAAGAATGATAACATAATAAAAAAATTTAGATTATGTAACTGAACTTTTAATTTTTTGGGACTGGGCCCGAGAGGACTTTGTCTTACGAGGGCGTTTACATATTCTCTGAAATGCCATTTACTGGACTTTGAGGGGAAGATTTTGCAGAATTCTGATGGTCAGAAATTACGTTTTAAGTTCTGGGATTTAAATATGCAACAAGTAAAATTCTTAAAATCTATAGATCGCCTTAACATTTCATAAATTAAAGGTGTTTATTTTACGTATTTCTGAAACAAACTATGCTTCCGGTAACTTCTTAAAAACTGTTCGACTAATATTATTCGTATGACAATCAAATTATATTTGGAATTATCAAAATCTTCGTAACAAGCTCTTTCAATTTCTTAGACCAACACACTCATTACAGGTATATTTTTTTTAAACACGACAAGCTGACAAGGTTATTACCGTTGTAATTTAGGTACACGGTTTCACACAAAATTTTGCCCTTCTATTTTGAAATTGTTGGTTTACCCCTTTAATCCAGTTAGTCTGAGACCGCCTGCAGTGAGCACCTATTTTGAGACCGACTATTTTTTTCCCGAGTTGTGTGACGTTTGCAATTTAGGTGCACGGATTAATGCAAATTCATATATTAAGTATTTAAAATTTTTCCCTTCTATTCTTGCATTGTTTGTTTACCTGATTAATTCATTTAGTCGCCCATGCATAATTCTGAGACCGTCTGCAGTGACTGCACTTATTTTGAGACTGACTATTTTTCTCCCTTTGGGGAATTTTATTTTTCTTAAACCAACATATACAATAGTTCAGCTCTGAACGTTGGTCTCATTATACTCGCTCGACTGTGTTGTACAGGGCGAGTGTATACTATTCAAAAAAAGTAGGGGATATTTGATTTTTAAGTGTTATTAAAGTCACCTAATGAAACTGACGAAGAAACAAATGACAAAATGAAATGAAGTTCACATTCATCGATTTATTCCAAATGATCGTTAGACTAAGTAAGGCACAGACTGACCATTATAAGGGTAAAATGATACCCGGGGTCAAACAGCAAAGTTACCACAGCATCACAACCAAGTCAGTAACGGGTAAATCCTCCTCTGTTTGCCAAACAAGCATTGATCCGACGTGGCATAC